AATTCGCAGACTCCCCAGTAGAAAACTGAACCAAACATTGATGGTCTGTGCATTGGTTTACTGGAACCCTTTGCAGCAAATCGCCAGGATGGAGAGAAATTCAGTTACAACGGTAAATGTGCTTCAGCAGGCCTATCTTAAGGTATACTCATTGCGTATCACTTCAGTTAAACGCATCAACTATGGAACCTAAGCGCAAGTCACTTCTGTTCTTATCTTCTACTGTGGAGTGATTTTAGTACATCATGTCTTTGATAACACAGCGGTCATTGTTATAATTTTAAAGGGGTAACAAGTGAACACCAGATATGACACCGGTAGTGCAGAACATACTGTGTTGTACCCGTGGCAGATCACTGCAATTAACGCACATTTCCATAAGGTCCTTGGGCAGTCTGATTACATTGTGGACTGGAGTTCTCGGATGTTATGCGTGCATGTTGTTCTACACGGTCTACTCACCCAAGTCGACTATGGCTTATTCTTGGTGACTCAAGTGTGTAGTCCCAATGACTTGTTGGCTCTGTTTCCCGGCTGGTCGACGTGTGGGTGATCTTGAGACTTGACCTCTGCGGTCAACCCACTCTGACCCTTGTTTGTTTGCCTACAAAGTGTGTTCTGCGTTGATCTGTGAGCTGGTCATTGATGTGGCAGTCCATCATTCGTGGTGCTGCGCGGAGATTCTATACACTGGTTGACTGTGTTCGCAAAAGTGTGCCATCAATCTACCAAATTCCTGCCATGCCCTACCGCGTGCACCGGTCTTCTGTTTCCTAGATTGAACTGTTATCATTCATGACTTTCATGCATAGATGCGACGGACAGTGAGTAGAAAGTTCTTTGTCCGGTAGTACATTTACTGCAGCCAGGGCAATTGATTTGGTAGTCTTGAAAACAATTTTATCACTATAACAGTCGATTGTGGGGTTACTGAGATTCTATTCGTTTGTAGTAGAATTGCTGGGAATGAAACATCTGCTTGATGTACGCAGGAACTACTCTGCGTTTGGTTGTCTGGTTCCACAGCTATTGTTGCTGTACACATACCTCGTTCCACAAGCTTCTCCTGATAAAATGTTTTGGGTGTTAATTTTTTCAGTACACAATACACGTGATTTTCTCCTTTCAGCTTGAGTTCTGCCGCATTACAGTGTGCCTTATGGACAGAGTTTGAACTCAATTTTTCCAGCGATGGTTTCTGTGACAAATCATCGTTTTGACACAAAGAGCAATTCAGTCCGTAGTCCCACTCATATGAATTTCCGCAAACCTCTTCGCAGGGAAATAGATATCGTCCATGTAGTGTATCGAGGACTTAGTGTTGATAACTGCTAACACACTATGCTCAAGTTAGCGCATCACTGGTTCGGTGGTGAATCCGAAAATCGCTGACAACAATAGAGTTCCCATCAGCTGTGTGCAGGCTTTTCTTTCGAATCTGAAGTATGTATCAATAAACCAAAAATAGTTTTTGGTTTCACCGTTTCCGTTGTGTTGGGATAATTGTGAACCGACCCAGTCAAGTGTGCTTCGGCAAGGCTGTACATGATTGATGTGAATGGGGTGCTGATGCCCAATGAGTGCATAATTTTATCGTCGTTGGCGTTGAATAATTTGTTTAGCAGTTGTTTCACGTTCCAGTGTGCGACTTTATTCTCTACATATCATAATTCTTGATTCGGTGCAGAACACAAATAGGGTGTGGGAATATTCTGATGAGTGGTGAAACAATATAAAGAAGTCTACATTTCACGAAATGAGATGCGTTTTGGTACGGTTTGTTTCCGAACGAAACGGCACTCCAAAGCTTTTCGGAAATCATCTGGAATCCCGTTCGCAACAGACCAGAAGGACAACTGCACTGAGTGGTTTTTGAAAAACGGAACATCGAAAGTTGGGGAAGTACGAGCACAATTTCGTATACTCCTCATGCATCTTCGGCTGCACATATTTTCGTGTTATACTTCGATGGGTGACCGAGTGTTCCCGCCTTGGAACCGAGTTTTCACATTACAGGTATTGCTGAAATATCTCTGCAATTATGAAGACTTATGTAAGAACTGTAGGACGCGCCGCCCATCGGTTGGTTGCAACGCCAATCCAGTATTCACAGCTAATGAAAATAATGTCTTTCCTGTAATGACGAAGTTCACGTGTATCTGCCCACTTATAGAAATGCGACCCGAAGTTTCTATTGATAGAGAAGCACGACTACACACGGGTTAATGATCAATAAAAATAAAGTGAATCGACAATCTTCGCAATTGGAATGTGTACGCGTATAGGCTGACCAGAGCTGCCATCTGCAACCTGTCACAAAGGAATTGCGTCCCGCTAAGTCCTCTCACTCATACAGCCATGACTCATATCACGTTTCAAGTGCGATTGATTTACAACCAATTGGATTTTCGGTTCGCTCTGTCTCTCTGATAGGATTCTAGCCAGGATGAGGCAACAGTAGATAGGGTTCGAATGATTGTTTGAAAGGATGTGAAATAGCTTGGAAATCTTATAACTCGCATCGGGTAGTCAACAAATACCAAACAGGTTCAGAAAGTATTAGCACCACCCAAGGAACTAACCAATACTACTCAACTGGGGTCCTCCCCAAACTGTGTATGCCACGCCATCCTACGGAGAATACCTGACATACATCTGGACAGCGTTCGCATATAGCACAAACTATTTTGTCACCTCTTTCTGTAATGATGGTTTTGCACCAAACAGAGGGAATTTCGACACGAGGTTTCTCTTGCAAGACTCTTACATAAAAAAGCCCTTTCAGTTCTATCAGTTCTTTAATCCTGTGCCAGGAAACTGCCAGTCCATGATTGTCTGCGTAGCGTACAGTTTTATCATCCCCAGGAATGCTCTATATTTGAAAGCACATCGACGGGTCCAGTTAACCGAGAGTGTCCCAACTGGTCGGAGGAGAACTGTAAGTCAATCCTAAGTGAAAGATTACCAACAATTATACAGCAGTCGACCTCACTCCCATAGTTTCATAGATATGAATTATGCAGCTTCCAGCATTCGTACATATGTACATTTGGATGTAAGTGTACAACTGAGTGTACTTCGCGCAATGCGTCCAATTTGCATTCATGTGGAACATGAGATTAGCGGAATTAAAAGGAATGCGCGTAGCTGATAAGCCTGGAAAGTACAACCGGTCGCCAAATTCCAGAGAGATTCCAGTAACCCTTAGGAGTAGTGTCCCGTCAAGAAAGTACACTATGATTCCTCGAATGAGATGGCTTTGTGCAGGAAATTCTGTTCAGGGACATTACAAACGAGATATTCGACTGGGATTCAGTTGAGCTTCCCGTGAAAGCCAAGTTAGAGTGCGAATGAGTGTATGTTGCATCCCTCGAGTTATTCACTGGAGCCAAACTGCTGCGGCCATCTAGCTTCGGAAAAAATACCACTGGACGTCAAAGTTCACCGCTCCTGTTCAAAATGCTGTCATTATGACCCAAAACTAGTAACCTCTGATAGCGTCAACACAAACAGACAAAATTCAATCATAGTACGACAAAAAACGTACGATGCTACCTTTTTCGTAAACGTTTTGGAACAATCGGTAGATTTATGCCACATTTAGCTGTTATGTGAAAAAGGCCTAATTCAAGACGTGCCATGGGATCTCCACATCCAACTCCCTTCATTAGAATGTCGTGGGTTTATTCACTTAAGTAAAACGGTTGATTCTCAGAATCTATTATTCATAAGACTAAAGCGAATCCGTATTACACGCTTGGGTTGCGCTCGTCTCCGAGGAGTGCGATGCCGACTGCTATTCACGTGGTTCACCAGGTGACTTGGTTTCGTGTTTATTGCTGCAGTAATCAGTAAGAGATTGAAGTCGCAATTTTTCACTGTTTCGTGGGAATCTGCCAACACCATTCGCGTTCATATAAACAGACGGTAAAATCATTGGTAAGCTTTAACTGTAAACTCTGAATACCCTGAAGTTCTCGTTTATGATATGATAATCACGGTAAGAGTTATCCCCAAGTTAGCTCATCCGATCGACAGTGATAGAGTGCGTAACGTCAAATATTTTCACCACCTTTTTGGAAAGCTTCATACTAAATTCTGCAACCCGTATAAGCCTTGGATAGTGATATTCTGTGGTCTACCGACAGTCTTCCCTCACACTATTTGGAGTTTTATTCACATTACGTCTCGAAGATCTTGTGTATTAGGCCAGAGTATAGCCATACAATCAATCAGACTAACAAATTCTCCAGTACAATCGAAAAGAACGTGGTGGATAGTGGGTGAAGCCAACAGCCCTCACTGCGTTCGTCCACTAAACATATACATATACATTACTGTGTTTTAGAGTATCCGCAATTCAAGTGAACAGACCCTCATTCTAGCACAAAGAATCAGTAAAAGGTGAGCAGTAAGAAACAGAAAGTGCGCATTGCCAAACGATGACCAAGAAGACGATCAGGTTGACGTGACGGGGCTTCAGACTGAACTCTAAACACCAACTGAAAGAGCACGGTGGATATCAAACTGAGGGAAAAAGCACGAACTATGGCATCTAGTTCAGTGGTGACGTTTAAAGGCCTAAGGCCGCTAAAATGGAACAAGAGATCCATCTTTGGTGTGATATATGACTTCCATTACGAGCAGTAATGGATAGTCTTTGAAGATAGTCTTTGGTTTCGTCTGGACCCGTTACCACGGGAACATAGCTATTCGTCAAAACAACTATTTGTGATTCGTTCAAACACCTAGCTCGGATATAATATAAACAGTAAATAATCAAACATCTGTAACACCCTTTCGGTGCTCAGCTGCCACGCGACGCGAGGGAGGGATGAAGGCCGACATTGTGTCAAGTTGTCCAAGCCTACGCAGGAGCGTTCGGATGCCGAGGTTGGCATCGGTATGAGGACTCATAGCTCAATCCTGTTAGGGCGCTACGTGAGCACTTTGTCTCACTTCATGAGAAGATCAAAGGCTTATAAGCCTTGAGAATATATTCAAAATCGGAATGCAATATGTACAAGAGATATGAACTGATCGATATGAACTGGCCAAAGAGCAGCAAAAGAGAAATAAGAGGGCGGGATAGGGGGCACGATTGAATAGAAAATTGATTGAAACGTGAAAGCCAAAGCAAATGTACATTTTGTCATCAAGCCATCTTCGCATGGAACCTGGAGACTGACATGAAGTAGAGCTGTCGGAGTATGTTGAAAATGCGATGCGATTAGATGACGAGGTGGAAAGTTTGTGAGTTGCTGTGAAAGAAACCAACAAGAGAGATTTACAATGACAGCAACAAAAAGCATGCTCTGCTGATGCTTATTGTTTTTTTCGTACCACACACTTAATGTTTCTTGCTTTGAGGCGAAACACACAACCGGCCGAGGATAGGTTCAGTAGCTTACTAGACTAGTCAGTAGTATGATCAATAGTTTATTGAAACAACGTTGAATACCACTAAACTACTGAACGCAACCCGTACATATTTCCGCATAAAAAGGGAGAGACAAAAAACGAAATATTTTTCACTCACTCTAAGAATGAGATGGAGCTATAATTGTGAGATTCGCTGATCTGATTCGTCCAACATTCGAAATCGACATTTGCGACCAACTGGGCATTATGGTCAAGTTATTCCAGATGCACACCTAGTGTTGCGTTCCACGTGGACGGCTGTCATACTGTCCGTCTAATTCGCGACGGATTTTTCAAACAACTGATAAAAATTCGTAAGTGGATTCGAATTCGAAACATTGCTACCAGAACTTGCCTGAACATCGTAGAAACGATGTCCCATTTGAAGTTACAGCCTGGTGCTTTGGAAGTGAGAAAACCGAATTTGATAGGTAAATGCTTTGCGCATCGGCCCATCAGCACTACATTACCAATCATCAGGAGACAAATGGTCACAATGTCTCCACAATGAGTGAGAAGTGACGTGTATGAGGACTGCTTATCAATCAGTGGTTAGTCATACGGTTATTTGAGAAACATAGGCTTAGTTAAATTGAGTTCCTTCTGAAAACACAGGGCTGGCATTAATCGATTAACTCCTGTGTCCTGGGGAGCATTAGAACATGTACGTTTCGATGAATGAGTGAAATGAGGTCAGAGCAAACAGAAGTGGCGGAAAAGTGGATAATTGTCAAGGATTGGGTTGCCATCTGAATAAATGCGCTTTCGTCCGAGCATTGAAACCCGCCTATTCTGTGCTCCGCAGGCTACCAGTTGGGGTATGAACCTGATAGTTGTTCTTTCTTGATTGAAGAGAGTGGTGTCTGTGGTTGAATGAGAACCAGGGATGGTGCACCACTGTGTCCGTTTTAATGCTGAGGCTGTACGTTTAGTCGTTCTAGCGATTGCATTGTTCTCGTTGAAAAGGAATCCCATAAAGAACGACTTTTGCATACCGCTTTGTTGCTGAGAGACTTTATCCTCCTCTTTGTTTTGTCTCTACCGAGCCGACGAGAAAACGTCATGACATGCTACAGCCCCGGGTAAGACGAATGAGTTCCATATGATGCATGTAACAAATTAAGCAGCTCAACAGATATGTCGAAATGGTTACAATAGGCCATTTTACATTGATACGACCTGATTTGAACTTACACGTATCTAGAGTATGTAACCCGCAGATCAGTGAAACTGAGTACCTCATCTATGATCCCCAATTTTAGGAAGCAATTGGCCAGCCGTTTAAAACCAATGAAAAATTCTTCCCTTTTTTGTTAACCAAGCAAGTAGTGCAACATCGTAAGCCTCATGTTCTGGCGAAATCTAGCTACTAACAAGTCAAATTTGTTAGGGCAAAATTAGCCGGTCGATCGGTATTATTATGATAGCAGTTGTACGTAACAAGGAATCATTCCGGTTCAGCACTATATTGGGCTCCAAACTCAACCAACTGCTAAAGAAGGAATGGTCGGCACCACATGTTTTTTACGTTCCTGACAGGCAGTTATCAACCGTAAATCCGCAAACTTGACATACAAATCCCCAAGTCAGACGCAGAGGCTAAAAATACAAGCAACGGCTCGAAAAAGCAACCAAAAAATCAACAGAAGATGGGGCACCCCTGGTGCAACGCGGAAAAAAGCGAGGCACGAAATTAGTGACCTTAGCCAGTCACAGCTGTTTGAAGATTGACAGTAAGATAGGTTGTTAAAGCCTGGCAGCGGGATAAAAACGGGAGTTTTGGAAACTCGTTAGTCACTGCGAGAGCTACCTTTACGAAGTTACAAGAACAAGATGAAAATGGTAGGTGTGAGGTGCCGCACTGGTGCACACCTGTTTTCGAAACGGTATTTTTCTCAGACCCATCCAACGCAGCCGAGATGGAACAGCTTGAAACGCAGTTCTGCGAAACCCAGATAATAGTAATAATAATAATAAGCGTTTAGCCGTAACACCTTTTCCATGCATGGCTATCATGCCACTGGAAGGGGGCATGAAGGCTGAATTACTCCCAGGTTTCTCACGCCGAGACAAGAGCAGTCCGGATGCCGGGGTTGAGTTCGAACCACGAACCCTTTAATCAATGAGTTCACGACTTAACCTCTGAGCTATCTCAAACTCAGACCAAACTAAAAACCGTGCATTGAAGCACGTGCGAGTGAGTTACGAGAAATATGTGACCAACCTACAGGAAGATAACTTATTCCAACACTTGCTTACGGCGATGGGTACAAGAAAAATTACTCTCGTTTTGTCTTTGGAAGACCAGATTCATTATTTAGAAGCGTATTGACGAAGAACGCCGATAACAACTGGAGTTTACCAAAGAGTCGGCTCAATATGGGGGCAATGGTTTAATGCTTTAAAGTTTGGTTTCATTCCGGCTGGTACACACCACTAGACGCTTCATACTGAGCTATACAAGTTTTTTTAATATGATGCCCGGGCCACGTGAATACGAACTACAGTACTCTTCCACAAGATCGTCTTGTTACTTGTGACGATGCGCACATGAGTTTTACTGACGCCAAGGCGTAACACACTACTAATGACGTTTCTAGAACTTTCCATAGCCCATGAACTCTTTCACGGGGCTCACCAGAAACGAGATTCAGCGGGATTCGATTGGGTCTCCCGTCAAAACCAAGTTAGTGTGTAACTGGGAGAATTGGATAACTTCCTTGTTCTCTGTTCACTTAAGATCACTTTGACTATTCCCTTCATAAGGAGAAACCAATTTTAGTTCGAATGTCCCATGGCAACCGCTGAGCCAGAATCACAAGTGGCACAAAAGTGCAGTTGGCTGTGTTTTACTAAATCCCGAGATTCAGCGGGAGAAGTCACGCAAATCTACATAGATATCTATAAGAATGTTATCCTAGTTCTCTGAGATTGCGCCAACGTCATAGAACATCATGAAGTCAATGTATTTTGGACGCAAACGCAATTGGTGCTAATCGGCAGCTATCGGCAGATCTGTGTAATTCCTTAAGTGTTGCGATCTACAGGTCCAACGGTACTTGCGGGCGTATAAGACACTCACGAGGGTCACTGCGACAATCACCCGCGTCCTCATTATTCAGCTCCCCGGGTATCAACTTCCGTTTTTTCCTTGCACAGAAGGTAGTTTGCTGCCAAGCCTACCAGGCGTGGATTGCCTTGGGGAGACTTACTCCCGGATTCAGATGATATGGGGACCAGGATATTTCGTTATTTCGTAGGCACTTGCTTTTCAAGGATGCTGCATTGGTGGAAGCTATAAGTTATCTAATAGGAACAGAATGCATTCTAGATCAACGTGTTGGATTCGGTCGATAATCGATTTCTGTTGTGACTGAGAAACATGCTCTCACGGTGTACTACGGATTTAGAAGAATGCGGAAGAAAATAAGACATCTTACCAGTGACTGACTTGAAGAGCCTATGACTGTACGCGATTGAACGACCCATGATGCGGTGGTTCCGGTCTGGGTCCCAAATTGAGACGATTGCTTGTCAAAGTGGTATGTCGTCGTTGCAAAGTGGTTTTTGTGGGATGTTTTGCGCCGCCAAGATTGTTTGATGGAGAGCTTAGGGTTTGCTCCAATGAAGCCAAGTCACCCAGCGATTTGGATGCCCAAAAGTCAGATGAATGGTTGCTAGAATAAGGACATTCGGCAACGGATGGGAGGTAGACAGCATTTTTTGAACGGGACTAATGTAACGACGGAAGAACCAAAAAGATGTCCCGAGAAGCAGACCATGAAAAGATCAATTTTTGAAGGTGAACGGCATCAAAATGGGTCGATGTATGGAAAAGCACTAGAGACAACGCCCAAATGCGGTTATCTTATGATGCACACCGTATACATTCACAATCTGCTAGTTCCAAAAGTCGGACACCGGAAAGCTGAGCTGAGTCACTGAAGAATGGGGCTAGCAGTTTGGAGAGATATTGGAATGAATCGTGTTTACACGAGGCGCAGAAAATAAGGAACTAGAGTGCACGTGTAAGCGTACTGTGGTTTGAAAATGAAAATCGTGGCTAGCGTGCCGAACGATCCACTGACGGATAACAAAACGAGGAAGCAATCGCGATGATCACGAAAACGACTCCTGAACCGGACGCTATATGCGAATACGAGATCGAACAAAATATCGACCAAAATTATTCATAACCTAGTTCTCAAATGAGCTGGTGAGCAGAGAGGCCAGCTGAAACAAAAGATTCAAATGGGGAATTCTATAGGACAACTGTGCGAAATATACGAAAATAGTTGGAAACATAGTTGGACATACAGAACAAATAAAGCGAACACGGAAACAAGTGAGGTTATGCTAAAACTCCATCACTTCAGCGAACGTATGGTTTCGACAGGCCTGTTCGGATTGTGCTTCCAACTCCCACATAAAAGTATAATCGCACCAACAAGCTTGCGTCGCTAAGTAACTCAGAATCGTTCGCTGGCTTGCAAGCAAAATTAGGAACCGGTGGGTGAGGATATAATGAATTTATGGAGTGTCAGAACTGCAGTGAATAGAAATGAGACCACAAAGCAGATGTACACGTGAATCGACTTAAAGTAGTGAGCATGCATTAAGTGGGACTGCTGTACATGCATCCGGTTGTCCGCCAAAAGTGTGAATTCTCATTTCTTAGAAAGTGACTGAGTGAAAGACCCACCAGAGTAACAGCTGTTGTGAAAACAATTCTGACAAATATTCATGTAATATTTCCATTTGTGACTCTAAGGACTTGTTTGTTTGAACAGGAAATCTAAGTCTGATGTGACAAAAACATGAGACGACTAAAACGACTACAAGGGTCGTGGTCACCAGAACAAGCACATTACCCGGCACCCAAAGCTGTCGAAATCGAGCTGTTTAACTAACAAACATAGAAGATTCCAAGATTATTCAGAGTTTAGCTGCACGAAATCAGTAATCGAGCCTTCAGAACACTGGTACCTCGGATTGTTCCTTGAGGTTCACCGGAGAAGATGTATAGGAAGACGCAACACTGAGCAGTTTAAAATGGTCCCAAACCAGCTGCATAAGGCACATAATTCTCTATGCAGTTCACATGCTGCACTAGACTGAATCGAAATTTAAGTTTCTCGCGTCTTGGTCTTTATGGTTTTATGGACATAGCCACACAAGTTATCAGCATCTAGAATCCAGAAACAAACCTATTAAGAAAAGGCTACGCTAAAAATAGTTGCGTACACAGAAACTCTGAAAGGATGAACTTGAATTGTACGCTATGAAAATTTAGCTGTGGAAGTTTCCGATGCGCGAAGCGAAAATACATTGCATCTCCAAAGCCACTTATTTATCTGTAGGTCACAACTGTATCGACTGTATGAGGTCGAAACAGTTGAAATAAAGGACTGGGGTTTCTATCAATTGCAGAGCACAAAATGCACATTCCTTGAAATGCGAGTATCAAACTAAGCAGATGTACTATGTTTGCCTCGATTCAAACCGCCCTGTCCGATCTACCAGTTCATGAAGTTTGAGAGAGAGTTTCAGACTTTGTTCGCTGTTCTATCCAGAACAGCGAAAACGTTGCATTCGTGTCGGTATGCAAGTCCGCCAGTGGGACTTGTCCCCCAAGTAAGCGAAAAAGTCCACGCATAGAACAACCTAGAAACACACAGTTTGTTATAACCAAGAAGTGTGAGGCCTAGGGAATTCATCTTCCTAAGTGAATAAGATTTGGTTAGGTGCAAAGTGACAACCAGTACACGGATCAACCGCGATGCCAGTACCTCAACGTGTACAGTGTACAAGAGTACAGGACGAAGAAAGTTTACTGCTGTTTGGTTGACAAACGTAGTAGCAGCCTTCCACGGATAAAACAATTAGTTACGTCTACGGAAGAAATCCGTCAATGTTCACTAATTATGACAGGTTTAGTTTTTACTCTTGATTGATGAACTACATGAAGAATCGCTTTAGCGTGCAAATTAACTGACATGGGGTGGGAGTGGGGATTACCGATACAAGTATAAACCTGTTCGACGAATAGAGAGACATGAAAAAGGAAGAGATAGAGAGCAATATCAAGTGTAAAATCAGCAGGTATGTAGAAAAATCATACTACAGGAAGCAAACCGGTGTTAGTAAAGTTTGAGCATCCTATACATGAAATAGATGGCCTTTTCAGAAAAGTTCCTCACAAATTACATCATAGCTACGTTCGAACCGGAGAAAAATCACTCTTTCCTTTCAGTTGTTCTACCTCGAGGGAAGCAAATTCAACTGGAACTCAGCACAGCTTTCGGGAAACTGATGTCTTTAAGCCACAAAATCGCGCGCAAGACATGGTCGAACAGTGAAAGGTAAATAATCGTTCAGCTAACGAGCTGAGACAGGTCTGGTGAGACTAATCGCAAAGAATACTAGTCTAACTTGCCCAAAACAGCGATTTGTGAATTGATCTCAGATGAAGACTGGACGGTACTGTACTGAAATGTCACTGACGAAATGGGTTTATCTTTGTCTTTACTCCCCAGATGAATGGTTGGATAAAAATCTAGAGCGAAAACCTCACAGAAGATAAGAGGAAGAATATGGCAACCTGCAACAGTTTTCTGGCTAGCAAAACGAGATTTGCACTTGCAAATTATCTAAGGAATCAGAAATAATTTGAGGCCATTTACTATAGACCGCTGATTACAACTGCACAAACTGCCACATTTGAGTCTAACATAATTTGGATTCCTTTTAGAGTTTCCATAAACGTGAAGAACGCAATTCTTCTGAGCTCTTGGGGTGACAGGAGCCCGATACCATTAAACAGCGTCACAGCAACTGGCTTAGTTAACGACATGCTAGAGTAGTAAACAACGAATAAGCCCACTAGAAGGTAAGATCGAACTAACACTGATAAATCGTTAGAAACATCCTGTGACGATCAATTTTCGTCCAACAGTCCCAGAAGGCTTAGATGACGGTTGCTTTCAACCCTTCCTGAGTGACGCTATGTCCTGTCTGTTTGAGAGTTGATCAGTCGCTCGTGGCCAATTGTCTACGTGTTCAATTATTTTCGGAAGATGGCGAGTTCGAAACTCTCACTTCCGATGATGCCCAATACGGATAAAGCAGCAGCACAGTGCTTTTTGGATTTTCAACACAGACTGGCTTCACTGGCAGGACGAAACCTCAAGTGGATGTTAAGAAAATCACTTCACACCACTACCGATAGCGGTAATCATAAAAGCATTAATACATCTGGAACTTTTGAAGTCAAATGAGGTGTTGTAATCCGACGCTTCGGTTAACATGGGCAAACGATTTCAAGGATTTCCACTATTACATCCAATTGACTGTTTACACTTTAGAAATTCCATAGTAAACATCACACGGCACTCAATCTTGAGAACACTATCGGGGCCGAATTCGGCCCGGAACTTTTAAGTGTTAATACATCCTCCGAAGATGTATTCGGAGGCAGTCATGATCACTAACCACTTCACATGAGCGACAAGCTGACTGGCGTATTTAGCATACCGTAGGTCAGTGGAAGGCCACTGCTTTTATTTTTTTGGTAAAAATACTTAGTGTAAAGAAATCAATCTGAACTAATTTAGCATGTATCGAAGCCCTGAAAATATCACCTGGTACACGGCAGCTGGCACAAAAATGGTTCAAGCCTTTCGTGTACGAGGCTTATACTTTTTGCTCATTTAGACAAATCTTCCGTGTGACCTCGGAACGCCTGGAGTTATGACTCTTTGTATCTCCATAGGCCTCTCGAGAGTTGACAAAACCCACAAGCAAGCCACTTCTGTTTGGATCAAACAAGCCGATGTTGGGAAAGCGAAAATTGGTCGACAGTCGGATTTTGTTACTCTCACAACTGTTTAGGTCAGTGTGGAAGACAAAACGCCCCACTTGAGCGAGTGAGTACAATCCCTACCATAAGCTACAAACCGGGACAGGTCGTAAGCATTTATGAAGGATTGGTAGGTTAACGAGAAGAACAGAGCCGGGTAAAGGCAAAGGAAAATCCTGTATATGAATCTGAAATAATGCATGTTTACTCTGGTTCGCTGTTCAAAGTCGACATTCTAAGGAGATATTCACTGGTCAACCGAACGGACCCTCCTTTCAGAACTTACCAATTTACGGTGCTAACCGATCATATCTTCGAAGTGTGTTATGCATCATGAAGCAAATCAGTACGGTGTCATTGAGGTAACAGGAACACCGGTCAAGAAGCAAGATAAGCTGATGGTAAAAACATGGTTGATACGGTTGATACCGTACAAGAATATCAGAGGGTATTACAAGCCGAATTCGAATATTAACTTGAAAAGACTTAACTAAGGCACATCAATTTCAATGGTCACAGGAATTTTACACAACGTGCACTTGCCAGTTAAACAAACAGACTGGGGGTGCAGCAGGACAAACAATGATATTTTCTAAAAAACGATCGACGGACAGACAAAATAGGCTGAGTTATGACACGAACTGCCACAAGGTTCGAAAGTACGCAGCAAAACTACAGTAAACAAGAAGTGTGTCTGAAAAAAATCACCACTGAATTTCGACAGTCGAGTATTTTACTTTGATGGAGGGAAAACGTAGGGGAAGGTAAAAAGACATACTTTGTTCGATGTTTTGGTTTGGGCGTTTCGGCAGGGCGATTGGCATTGGATGGGAGGACAGATACAGTGGGGACGAAAATTCGAGGAGCTGTTGAGCCTCCAACGTGTTGCTGGCCAGTAGATTCTCTTTGGAAACGGGATGCTTGCCGAGGGAGAGAGTTCGTTTCGTCCTGAGGGACCCGTAGAACAGAACATAAAATAGTATGAGCGAGCATTTGTTAGGGATGATGCGGAAGACTACCCACAACTACAATACGAAAACGTCTCTAAATCACCACCTAATTTACAGCTGTGATAATGCACGATTCTGCAAAGCATATTGCCCTACGAAAATGCTCACGGGCCATTCTTTATTGCTTCGCATATGAAAGCGGGTCGCAAGTTTCCACGGATATTTCCGCACATACATTACTGCAGAACTTAATTTACTACTCCAATGAAGATGTTTACGCTTGATAGCTTGTATTTTCAAGTTACGGAGTTGAGTGAATTGCAAACCATATCCACCATGTCCTTCTGTGTATCGTACCAACCCAGATTATACTGCGATTACGCGTCCTAATTCCTAGTTTATTGTTTCCACTTGAGTCAATATCCTAGCAAGGCAAACAACAGATGAGGTGTAAAATAAAATGTTCTCCCGCGTTGATGAGCGTGAAAGCCAGTCGCTGATCCTCCACAATTTGGGACAGCTCATTTCGGATATACAGATAGCAGGAAAAGCTCTGAGGTCAAATTTACTTGACAAGATTGGGCGTCCTGATCAAGTATCTATTAGCTTGAATGTTGTTTTTCCAGAACTGCATGCCGTCAGAAGGCCCTTTAGGAGATTTCGTTCGCTGAAACAACAGTCGCCATCGATCTAGTAAGCATACCGGGCATACGAATAGCGCAATCATCTCTGTAAGTTGAGCAGGAGCTCGACCATTGAAGCACACGGCTTGGTAGTGCAAGTGACTTTGGTTTTGTTTGCACCGTACGGCCTGACAACTAATAGGCGCAACGACGAGACGATGCACGATAATGTGGTTTGGATTATGGACCGATGATGGCCTACTGCCGCGTTCCAGGATGCATGATTGAAAGTGCAAGCTGTCTAGTGTGACAATGTCGTACAGGCCTTTCAGTGAAGTAATGGAGCAAAGTAAACAGCCATGTATCTGTTCCTATCCCCGTACATATCGCATCTACGTGCGATCTAGTGACGAACGATCCATTAAGTAAAAAGGCGGAGATACGTCTGCTTGTCTGAACGCAGGCTTGATGCAGAAGATCTGTTTCTGAGCAGCTGTAATTCTGAATGCACTGAAGTGTGTAAATCTGTAGATGGCACAGTGCACTATAAGAAAGTTTAATAGATGACTGGAGGAGAAGGGTTATTGCTGAATAAAGCAACGGATAGTATTGCTCAGGCGGATGACCTCCAACGTAGGCGATATTTCTCCCCGAGGGTATGGTAAAATTGAAATAAAAGTTAGAGAGGTGTTGCCACTCAGGGGGGGGGGCGATGGGTGAGTGTTACCACTCATAAGTGAGCGGACGTCCCGTACTGACAAAACGCTGCAGTAACAGATCAACCAAATTATATTTCAAGAACCTGATGGCGATTTGTTGCGCTCATAATAACTATTAGTTCCCTAAAGCAATTCAACTCCGTTATCCACAGTGGTGTCATGGTAGTGATTCACTTGACTAAAACTCATCCATTGGGATGACGCTCAGCAAGTCTGCTTTAAGCAAGGCGACTGTAATTCAGTGGAACGGCAGTTCACGTACGCTTTCTAGTTACCATCCAGGGTTGTATCGGTCTCTAGTAAAATATATACTGGAATGGTTTAGGAATTGTTTAGGACAGAATCAGAGACTACAAATCACAGCACACAAAAAACCCACAAGGGAAAAAGACGCGTAAGATTTACACTATCCTTTAAATGCTGAGACACGACAGCGTGCGAACTCACCTGCGTCGGTAATGAAGGTCGGCTTAGGGAAGAACAGGCATCACTGGTTGTCTCGTCCACTGAAGAAGCGTTTTGCAGATGATTCATGCGGTCCGTCCGGCTGGTGCGACCTTCGGTTCTTGAAATAAGGTGGGGTGGAAGAGTCACACAGTTGAGTACATATCCAGCATACAACAAAAACTTTTCAATGACAGTGACTACTAGCTTCTGGTGCCTGGTTGGCAACTAAACTGGAACACCTTGGTTAGGGGAAACAAATTTACTACTTAAACAGCTAGAATGAAGAACTGGCGGTGTCAGTAAGACGAGCAGTTCCGACTAAAGTTCGGAACTTAAGGTCAATTCGTAGTTGGGTACTCAAACTGCCAGCCGAATTTCCACTTTGAAGTTTGTTTGAAAAAAGAAACCTAGTGGAAAAACCAATAAATTTGCAGGGAATCATAGCCTTACACTCAGTCACGTTGCCCTAGAAGCGAATCAATGTTGACTGGTATAGAATGCAAGGGGAATGATTGGTCCAGCTTTACGACACACAGGCAACTTGCCATTAGCCGTGTTACATAGGCTCAAAGCTTCGTTGTTGAAGGTAACCAACCAGTAGGAATCGATGAGAGTCGACTGGAACTGATTCACATGCCAACAACCTTAAACCGTTGCCAAAAAGTACCATTTCGAAGACCACGAGGAGTGCACAAAATATGAAATGCTGCCGAGCTGCTGAGTAGGAACGTGAATGGCCGGAATGCCACTTTTGAGCTAGAATTACAGACATCCTGGTAACGAACACGCGGCATACCATCCAAGCCATCTAGTCGACAGTGATCTATCGGTTGGTTGTAAACTGTTTTGCGCCCCCTAACGCTTGACTGGGAACTCTCCTCCATCTGCTACTCTATCGGTTGTTGTAAACTGTTTTGCGCCCCCTAACGCTTGACTGGGAACTCTCCTCCATCTGCTACATATGATTGGTTGAGAGGACTTTTAGAATTGTTAACTGTAATGTGTCTTCAAGTTAGAATACCATAAACAATTAATGCCCATTTACACGAGTAAGATACATCTGACAAACCAAACAGATCAGAAAGGGTAGTGAACTCAGAAAAAATTATATAAAGATGTAAGCATCTAGTATCAATCTTGAAATCACATTCAGTGGAGAAGATGGTGTCCCCGAAGGTGATGACCCACACAAGAAAACGCAGCAACAGCTGAAACAAGCCCTTTTTATTGCACGCTGTGGAACACCGCGCGACATGTTCCAGTCTAAATTATTGTATTCCTCCATGTCACTCTGAACGAGGTGATAGCGAAACTGTAACCGGAGAACTACGTGAGGTCGTGTGCCACGTAAAATAGAAATGGAACAAATTACACAGCTAGTTGCCTCATTTATACGGGAAAAAACGTAACTTAACCAAACAGTAAAATCCAACCAGTCTCAAAGAGAACCTCAAATCTCTCTGAACATAGACTAGGACTTTGAATGCACCGGTTGATATTCGTTCAATGAAATTCAGTCTAAATGGTCTGTTGCTTCGTGATGAGCTGGAATAAAGAACAAAGTTGGACGTAGTATCCTACGCAGATTAGTCGCTTCGGAGCGGACGAGTTGATTTTTGGCTTTGTCAAAGCTAAATTACGGTGAGTTCGCCTGGTGTCGCCTGGTTGTTTGCGAAAGCGCAAATTCTCCCGAGTTTCTAGCTTTAGGTCAATAGTACTAGTTGGTGTAATGTGAAAGCTGTAGATGAATTTACAAACATGATGATTGAATCACTAAAATGATGTCTGTTTGGTTGGGACATTAATGTGGCCATCATGTTTTAACGCTCGGTGGTGCTTTAGAATGTGTTCGGCCACCGGCGACGTCCAACGCCCAAGTTGGTTAGAACCACCCTCACCAATGTGGAGAAGCTTCGCGCAAACAGGAGTCATCAGTACGAGGCCGTCGTCAGTTGATCTGAGAAGTTTTTGGTTCCAATGTCCAAAAGAGATTCAGGAATACAGGATCACAGAAGACTTACTGCTGCTTGGATAGCATAAGTTCGTTCTCATGAAGCTGTGTTTCAAGCTCACTGGCGAATTTTTCGCAAAATTCTTGTAAACGGGAGGCCTGCGTGGGTAGGAAAATATGTTAACAGTTGATTCGTATGTTTGCATCAACCTTGATCTCTTTAGTGAACTATTATAGAAACCAAGTGAGAACTGGGGCTTGTCGCTATTCGTCAAATAGGCTGAGTACTAACAACGGATACCAACCAAACGACTCAAAATGACACTGCTCAAAAAATACATACCAATTCTTCATTGCTTAAAATACTGACAATAAGGTGTCATTTACTTTCTCCTAGAACAGAGCAAGTCACATTGGCGTCAGGCACTTCTGAGACGCAAATATCGCAGAGTGTATTCTTATTAACAAAAAACAAGAAAAATGACAAGAACATAAGAGAAATGAAGACTGATTCCATCGCATTCAACGTAAAGGATGGCCACACACGTGCCTACAGTGAGTCAAGTCCTCAAAGATTAACATTCGCACATACTCAAATTCTTCAAGCCTTGGCAACATGAATTAGAAACAGTAGCATAGTAGCCGTACAACCGTTTTAAATAGATAATGATGTGTTAGAATTCTTCGGGTGTTTATTTTTAATCGAACGACCAACAATTAACACAAATACTGAACGAACTGCCGTAAAATGCTGAAAGCCGAAGTGTCGCACAACATATGGTGTCGAAGGTTTCGTACAATATGGTAACAACGGCGAATTCTCAGCTGGGTTCTTGGTCTGAAGCTACCAAACTAGAGTTCCCGTCAATAAACAACCACCAAAGGTGCACAGCGTGTATTAGCGCCAAAAATCAGGTCGAAAACTGGTTCAGTATGGCTGGTTGTAATCCTTTGGAATTACAACGCGTTCTGAAAATAAAAGACATCCGTCGGCTAGTAATAGTGCATCATGCTGGTTGAATTAAAGTCTCCATTCGTGTTTTGGGCAGGCAGACAGCCATTGATTGGGGTGGTGCTTGATGACCTGCTGCAACACAGGTCAGTAGCCTGGCGAACCAGGTCAGCAGTAGCTGGGGGAATTCGATATTACGCGGTTCACCTCGGGTTCCAAGGCAATTGTTGCGACTACAGTATCCTCTGGTTCTGACCTGCTTGAATTAGTGAGTCGCGATAGTGCGTCGGATCTGTTGAAACATGGCTGGCGCTTTTGTGCACCGTCCAAGCCCGGTGGCGAATATAGATGCAAAACGTTTCAGGCGGTTCCCATGTGAACGCTTCTGAAAACAGGAGCTTGTTTGAGGGCACCACCGGGTGTTACGTGTGTAAGGTTGCACATCGGACTAATCGGCTTTTCCAACAGATTCAGCTTATCGATCTAATCTATACCCCTGGGATGTACTGCAAATCACCGTGATGATAGTGATGACGTTTTGGCCGTCATAAATGCAGCCGTTTGGTAATGCGTACAGATGACTAGTGCACAGCTACGATATAGTTCCCCCAACCGATCATCCCGAATAAATGGAATGTAGTTCAAAAAACGTTCAAGGGCTCCAAAAGAAGTCGAAATCAGTTTCCCAGAGTGCAAACCGGCTGGATGTGCGTGTTTGCAAACATGTGGAGCACAATAATGGAACAGACTTGGTGGGTTGAAATAGAATCGCTTGTAGGGCATAAACTGCTAAAACACGCAAGGAGCTACACACTTATATGGGTTTAGTGGCACGATCAACGGCCTACACTATAGCCATAGAACAATTACGGTTACAGAGATTTAAGTGGAGAAACTCAACCAGTATGACCTAAGGCATGGTATTTATTCACTTACTGCAACCCAGTCATCGAAACTTGCTGACTGTCCTTTGGGACGATGACAAGGCTTGTCAATCGTGGGCCAGTCCGGAACACGAACGGAAACCTGTGCACCAAATGACAGCTCAGACGGCTCCATGCTCGTACCTAGACTGTACTCGGAAATGGTGGCCTCGTAGGCGTCGCGTATATTGGAAACGGCCATATGATTCCCATCGCGAACGACTGATGAGTGGATTGGGAAGCGAAACAACATTAGGAAACTTCCGTACCATTGTGGGATAACATTTTTACTGGTTAATATCACTAGGTACATTAGGTGTTGGAGATGCAAAAATACCATAAGGCCCACAAATCTGATTGAGGAGTCACTATTGGGCAAATTGAGTACCTGATAGGACCTCAGAATTGCACGCGGTCCACTTAAGCAAACTTAACCACAATGGATCAGGTTTTAATGTGCAGCAGGAACTAGCATTACGTATCAGTATTCAGACTGAAACCGAATTTTTGTCTGTATGCTGTTCAATTATAAAATAGGATCACATGTGAACCATACATGGACTAGCGAGTGGAAATGTGTTTTTCATGTGGATACCCATGTTAAACAGGAAGTTGGTAACTTGGTAACTTGGCAACTCCAAGATGACTGTTCGGCTGATCATAAGTCAAACAGATTTCAAGTTAACGCACATATAAAGCCCCTTCGAATGGGACATTTCACCTGAATCTGAAACCGAGACTCCCGGTCTTCTTAAGTATGGGCAGGCTGGATGAAGGAAAGTTCGGGGCCAGGCCTTGCCTCCAAAGGCCCCAGAAATGTCACAAGTGTTGAGAAGGATTAATGGCATGTTAATTTTGCGTGATCAAAGGATAAGGCTTAGCAAACGAAGGAAAAGTGCAGCACTGATAGGAATGCACGCGGAAAGTAGTATGTAACTAGGCTGGACCATTGTGATGACTAATATGGTCCGATCCGTAGAAATTACGTGTAACTCACCATTCAAAATCACTAAGTGGTGACGCGAATTCAAACAATTACGAGATGGTAGACGGATGTTCAACAAAAAATACTATCAAGATAATTAGGGCCTCTTAATGTCGTTTTCCGTTTGTTGTTACTAATTTATTTTCCCTCTGGTAGTAGGAGTGCCTGTTTTAACTACGCTAATCACGTACGAATGAACAAATTAATTGAAAATGGTTTCCGCTCTTCGAGTGTGGCAACCCCAAAATGGTACACAGTTGGTTCTGAGCATTTCCACGATGAAACATTCCACGGACGGGAACTACTCCTGAGGAAAGTTGATCGAAAACATCCCCTGTCTCTGGAGGGGCTGGATAATTCATAGTGACTGTACGATTTGTTTCCTGAATGTGGATTTTATCAAACCAATTACCTATGGAAGACTAAAGAAAAACACTACACAATTCAAAGACAAGATGACAATTAAAAACGTAAGTTTGTGGCAAAAGCCAACACACTTGTGCCTTTGAAACTGCTTACAAGACACATTAACAAAGTCAAACAAAAACACAGAATCCTATATTATTACTACTAGAGCCTGAAATTGGGGTGTACCATCCAGTTTGACTTCCTTCTTGCTAATGCTACCACCCTAATTCCTCAATCCGAAAAAGAGTAATCAGGCTGTGGTTGGTTACGACGATCTCTTCTATGCCAGTGCACACCGAGTCATCATCGACAGCAATACACCGGTAATGAATATACGCTTCAGTGCCATTCAATAGTGAGAAATGAGCGCCGCAGTGGAAAAATAATTGACAAAAACAGCCCAATATCCCCAGGAAGAATGATCAACAACAACATGTCCATAGTTTTAGGCACTACTGAAATAAACGTATCTGAACAGTATTCGGGTCGGCGTTCGCTGCTATACTTACTCGACACAAGCCCAGCGCACGTCGATGAATAGTCCAACAGTGTAAACTCAAACTTGATACACAGTATGGATTTCCCAACAAGTCAACAGTGCTCGAAAGTCCAACATCGCTCTAACAGACTGAGGCCGTTTTGCTTACAATCTTCTATGCTGATAACAACAACAATTCGTAACACCCTTTCGGTGGCTAGCTGCTATACCACCTTAAGGAGGTATGGGAGATGAGACACTGTCAGTTTACCCAGGAATAGACAGGAATAGTAGCAATGCCGGAGCTGGGTTCGAACCGTGGATCTTGTGGTCAGTACGTTCACGCCTTAACCACCAAGCCATTTTGGGGATTAGCGAGGCGGAGATTTTTGGCAGTGAGTGTTTTGGATAAAAACAACGCTCCTTTCGGTGGGCTGCGGTTGGGCAAACCTAATACATGTCTCAGGCACTCTGAAATGTGATCCGCAGTCCCAACGGTTCTGCTTCATCACGACATGCTGGATTACTCACCATTCGACACGCTAGAAGAAGTTAACTCCTGTTAAGCTGGAAAACCACCCATAAACAAACATTCAAAGACAGAATACAATTAGTATACACTTCAGAGTAGAAACGCGTTAAATACCACACATAACAGTGGTGGGCGCCAATCGAGCTTTGGACGAGAAAACAAAGCAATATTTAAAATGATAGATCTTCAGTATAGGTCGTACAACACTTATTTCAAGAAACGAACTCAGTGGGAACAAACAAGTATTTTGAGGGGAAAAGTACCATTTCTTCGCGTACTTCTCCCACAAACTGGTGGTCGATCTCATATATCAAACTTGAAGAAAGCCTAACCTCATGGACAGGTTAAAACGAGCGTTTCCCAGTGGCGAAGTTCATTCGGGTTGGGAGTTATCATACTGGCCATTTGGTTTAAAGTTTATAAGTTCCAGTAGCGCTCTGGTGTCACAGGAGACTTCAGATTTTTAAGCTATGTGTTAATCGAGATTTCCGAAGAAGACGAAACGCCGGTTAGCTTCGTTTCAAACGACAATATCCATAGGCAACTAACAATGAAGCAGTGGGAAAAAAAATTTTAAGAAGTGTTCAATGGCATTATTATCATGAATTTCTCGAAAGGGAAAGTCACGGAATCGAAAAGTCGCAAGACACAGCTTATGCTCGTGGAGTGTAAAAAGTATATAATGAGACAACCGTGCACATGAATTTATAAAACCCTTTAACGCCAAACAACTAAATCTCAGGGTAACTGGCGAATTCGATTATATAGCTTATCTGAAAAGTATTCAGATAAGACGCGTATACAAAATGAAACAATGAACAGGAGTTGTGTGTCACTTGCTTGCCGAGTTCTGCTGATAGGTGACGCTGAGCCCTTCAGAATTTCTATCCAGGCCTTGCCCATCTGAATTTCTCGATGCATATGATCCACCCAGAGAAACAGAGGAAGTGTACGTAGAACTTGGAAGTGCATGGTGCCGCTGTGCCAATACGGCTTGCTCTGAAGACTGAAGGCTGCCGGTGGCCGATTTAGACATGAAGTTGGACTCTTGTACAGTGGAAACCGACCGGTTTGACGGGTCTGAGCGCGTCCAATCAGATGGCCCGTACGCTCGAGTGTGTGGCAGGTGCATCACTGGTCCGAGAGCAGAAGGAATCGGTGGGGGTTCAGCGCCCTGAAAGTGTCAAAATGGGAAAACACGGCTGGCATAATGCACGCAATGGACAACGTTTTTGTTTAAAACTCACTATTTGGAAAGACTGATTATTGGCTAGGAATCCAGCAACAAATCCGTACGACTAAGACCACACTAAACTGGTCACTGAAGTTAAACAGTTCCGGATGAGTCACAATAGTGTAGTTGGATTCGTCCACGAATGAGTTTCAGTTTGCTTTCAATGCTCGGGGAGGGGCTGGTTTTATTGTATACCTCATCACTTTTCTTAGCTTCAGTAAGCAAGAGTATAGCGGCTGCAACCAACGCAACTTCCGTCCACACAAAATGAATGTTTTAGAAAGTTGGAAAACCAACGGTGGGTTTATTTATCACTGAGCGATGCTTCGCATCTAAGAAGAAAACTTGTGCAAAGTGAGTTAGTGGTCGGATTATTAGGAGGAAGAGGACCTATCAGGAGATAAGAAACGTCTGATGACCGGATGTGAGTTGTATGCTGGGGTGTTTAACAAGTGAATTCAACCTGCCTGGAGTATTGGGACACATTAGTAAGGTCGTATAAAACATGAAGTTATAAAAAAAAGGAGGGGCGGCTACAGCTCGAGAAAAAGATCGACCAGCTACAACACAGTTTGATAAAGAGATGGAGACCAAAATTCGATAAGCTCGGAGTTAATTGTGACTAATGAGAGGTAACTGAAAAGATCACTTGATAAACGGGAATCAGTGGACAACGATTTTTCTGCACTCGGACCTGAGTATATAGGGGCATTAGAAATAGAAAGGTCTATACGGTTTACTAACCGAATAGTCATCCACATTAGACTTCTCTGGTTCGCATATGGATTCCATGAAAACAGAAGCTGCAACTGGATTCACTCGAAAACACGCACGCAGTTGACATTCGGGACAACTCGAAGAAGCTTGTTCTACTGGATCGGTCTGTCGTTCACAGGCAAGGTTACTCACGTTTGGGCTATGTACAACAGTCAGCGTAACCTCAGGTCCAGCTGAAGCAACCAACTGCGCAGCAGCTTCTTGAGACAGTCCCAACACGGATCGGTTGTTGACAGCCAAAAGATGGTCACTGGCACGCAACACGGGCAGATCTTCCGAGTGGGTCTCGGAAGAAACCGGTACAACCCTGGCTCGACTCGCGCCACTTCCTGAGACAATCGCTCTCACGTAAATCCCTAGGTCACGTCCATCTTCCGACTGAAATATAAAACCAAAATATAGCTGCTTTGTTGACGTTTAAAAAGTAGGTTACTGTAAATATACACACGGATAGAGTGAGCGTGAAAACACGATTACCTAAGCGCTTCACTTTTATTTGCGTGAAATGGCCGAACTGTCAGATTCTTCGCAGATTCTAAATTTGGTAGACGAAAACTAAGTAAACTGTCACAACTCAGATTAAAAATGACTAGACACCAATATCTATGTTGGTTTATGTCATGGTTCAGAACCACAATTTGTTTGACTGGAATGAGCGCAGTTTTGCCGTCGTGGAAAGCCGCAGACTCAGACGGTTCAGGAGAAAGAATAGAAATATAAACTTAATTAATAATGCATTCGGTAGTCGCAGTAGGAAAACTCGAGTGAGGTGAAACTCATTCATCCGTTTTGTTGTGTGGGTGTGAGCTGAAAGATTTTCAGATTAATAAAAATGATAGTAAAAGCAACGCGATCACAAAATCTATGAATTAGACAGAGGGAAGACTACCAGACTCGACAGAGTGAGGGTGGGCAGTGAGTGGGAGGGGGTTGTAATGCAGACTAAGTATGCAATAGACAGGAAAAATGTGAGAATGAGAGTCAGACGCGCACAGGTTTTAAATGCCTGTTTCGGGATCATTAATCAACCAAGAGCTGTGCCGTTGGTTGAGACAGCATCCAAACCAAAAACAAGAATGCCGTATATACATGTGGAAGAAGGAAGCTAACACATGGACAGACATATTGTTAGGCCATTTGGAAATTAGATTTTTATTGATTTGCAAATGAAATTAAAACAGGAGCATGTCTGTATGTGCACGTGTGTGCTGATGAATTAGAGAAAATGGAGTTGAAATATGGAACCAATTTGTCAAAGAGGACAGGTGTGCATTGTCGGATCGGACTACTCAGATCAGACAACGGAATAACCACAGACTGTTATTAAATATAGCAAATAACACGTGTCGTGTGCGTGACACTTCATACTATTCTCCCCAGCTGCAGATATAACAACAAATTTATGTCGCACAAGGGGAGTGCGAAGACATCATGGAGGAGACTTTGGTCAACATTGAATTCGATGGAAGTTATTTGGAGATACGTGCAACGTGGCGGATAAATGAAACAGTCAGGCAATCTACATGACCTTAACGAAACGATTGTGAAGAGTGCAATGAGGAATTCTCAGTTACCACAGCAAATTGGAATCGTTCGAGCGGTAATGTACAGAGTGCACAAAAACCATTGTCGGTGCCACTTACGACTCAGCGTTCATTGCCTACGGGGGGAGGGAAGCGTTAACAACGCTTCATGTCAGACAAGGCGATCCGTATCACGATACATATTGTATTAAAATTCGAGATTTCCCGACAAATTTTATCACCGGTGAATTGAAGAGGAGCTGCTCCAGCTCCGATCATCCGCGGAAAATGAAAATAGTTAACATGTCCCGCAGCTACACTATCCCTGATAAAAAAGAATAAATTGCCTGAGTGAATTTGGACTATGGAGTGTAAAGTAACGTCATTCAAGGCGGATGACTGACTGAAAAGTCAGGGGTTGACACAAATCAAATCCCTTTCGTCCTATGATATCTCGAACCCAGAAAAAAGACATCGAAATCACAATGTTCGATACCTCGGATCTAAAAGTGTCACCAGTTCAAAGGCAAGATCGTCTAGTCCGTTGATCGTCTGAGAACCTAATGTGTATCGTTGGTATCTATCAGTCAACGTGAAGCCTCGGAGATATTTTACCGGTTGACTTAACGGTGGAAATTGGCGCACTCGATTTATACAGTTACGAAAACCGTGCGGACAAAATCAACTGAAGATAGTGAAGATGTGTAGAAATGCCTAAATGGACAAAGTCCATACACCATACCTCATGAGATCAATTCAATTTCCACTAAGCTACCAGGTGCCAAACCGTTTTCAAAGTGATCTAACGCACACAACTGAATGAAACGAAAGCAGAAGTACAAATGCTAAGAGATGTATGCTATAGCGATTATCATCTACTCGGCTATGGCAATGAAACATTAAAAGTTATTAGGCTGCAGCCCTTTTTTACTTACATCAAAAACGCAAATACGAGCTGACGTTAAAAAATATGACAGATTCGTTATGGATTGGAGGGGAACACACCTTGGCGGCGACTATGCTTAATCCCAAGCTCTGCCCAATCTTCGGTACAACGACAGTCACCGGTCTGTGGCTGCTGCAAAGCGAGGCTATGTACTCATGAAACGAATCCGAAGTGGGAAGCTGGGCGTTCGTCAGAGGGCAGTCCTCATCCGTCGCGGAAACAACCTCCGACGGATGGGAATCGGGCTCCTAGAATAGAGAGGTCGAGATAGGTTAAACAAGAAAGACGGACCATGTACAATCTCGGTGAATACCAGATTTACGACCTAGTCCCAGAGACCTGAGGCTTCCCGCTCTCGCCGAAAGCAAATAAGTGGGCAAACAAAGGTGAATGACCAAAAGAAGTGCGAGGAAAAAATTGTTGATTTGAAACAGAAAATTTGCATACCGACCGAGTGAGCGAAAAAGCTTTCTTTATATCTGTATATAACTCGACGGAATAAATCAAATTGCGGAACTGGTACTTGCCTATGATGGATCAGTTATTATGCCACAAATTAGGCACAATTTTGCTTGTCCCTCTTTCCTACATATGAATGTAACCATTTTCCAGCACTTTCTCTAGACTTATTTGGCAGTGATAGTGACATTTGGTTGATAGTGCTCTAATACTCCAGGAATATATCCATCGTAGAATATAAACATCACGAACTTGGAACAGTATAACGAAAAACCGAAAAATTATCTCCTGGAGAGAGAGAGGGAAGAATGGAAAAAAGAGGAAAAGGCGACACTAACGATACTTTTCTGATTAGAAAAGAAGTTCCGCCGGGTTCTATGCATATCTTTCAACCTACCTGTGCTTGAAATTCGTGCTTCTCTGATTGATAACCGAGTTAGAATGGCCATAAATTGGCCTCCTTTTCCATTCGTCTCAACGAGGCTTACTCTGTTATCTATAGAACTAGGGAGCTGATTGCTGAAGGTTGCAGGATAAGTCTGATCCTAAACTACGAACGCCACCGTAAGCATCACATTATGCCGCGAAGTTATCACATGCTCCATCCCGGACTGATAAATGCCTCCAAATCCAGTGTTCTAAGCAACTCGTCTGCAAGCTAAACCGATTACAGTGCCATGTGGAGGCATAAAAGGAATTAGGCTTTCGCGAAGTTATGCAGCGACGACTAGACTTGTTTTCAAAGAAACGGGCAATGCTAAATGATAATGAAAGCTCACTGTTCTTGAGGTCTACACATGGTGGGCCTGAATACTCCACAAGGTGTTTGCTGAACACAACTTAGGTGAATCGCATTTCCTATGTCACTTCTGGGTATATCGAGACAGACTGGTCTTGTGCTCTTTCCATACACCATACCATCAGTTCAATGAGCGCATACAGGCATCAAATCTCTCTCGCCCTAAGCTAATCCAACTTGACCCGACGCGACAGTATATGTAAGTCGAGGGCTTACAATGTCAGTTTTGGGAAAACGTTTCGCAATGGTGCCATAGATGGTTGATCGGATAACATGACCTGCCTACCTATCACCTAAAGGTTATTGTGCGTAAGCCGGCATATGGGGTCTCCTGGATACACAGAGAGTTAATGGCCAAGCATTCGTTCCAAGCAAACTTGCGTCGTGAGTATCAACGTTTACTTTGAAAATACACCCAATTCAATATGAACGTAATTTGTGCTATGCAGTTGAAGAAACAAGATACAATGGCTGTTCCTGTGCATAAAACAGCTACTTGCACAGCATCATTGATTAGTTACGTGTTGTAATCTGGAATAAGGAAACCAAGGGTGGTTTATATGGCGGGTCACTCGCGTATTTTAATAGAAGGAAACAGAATTGCAGACCTGGTATGTAGTGTTCATATGAGGAGACCTTGGCCATCGGGCAATCGTTTCCCAAATTATCTCACAGCTCCTGTTGCGCGAATCGAAAGTGAAACGTCTGAATCAACTGCAACGCGATACTTTACCGAAATTGCCCCATCACTGATGACTGATGGAGCTCAGTACATGCAATACTACTGATGGGGTTACCTACCAGTTTTAATGAGCGACCAGAAGGTGGATCGATCGGTTCTGGCTGAGAGGTGTAACTGGATTCAGCGAGCACACTTGGTGATGACTGTTCATTGATCACAGGATCGTCTGAGGTGCCATTTAGGAGACGTGAGTCTTTCAAATATACATTCCAACATAGGGAGTGGTGTGATTCAGTGTTGCTTTGAGCATCACAAATCGGCCTTACTGATAAACGGCACCAACCATTGCTTATCGCAGGAGCAAGAAACTGTCGAACTGATTCGACGGTAATCAGTGGTTCATTGGAGTGTTTATCCTCGGCATCATTATCACTAGTATCGCGCTGCTCACGCGCCGAGTTGGGACGACTGCAAATACCACTGTCACAACTGACAGGCTCTTCGTTCAGATCTCCGGGGATCGGATTATCAGAGGGATAGGAATCCTCCGGAAGCAACAGTGGTAAGAGTAGATCAAGTGGTTCACCCAACCGAGGTATCCAACCCTTCTCCCCCTCAACAGACGTTTCCAAAGGTTGAGCAGATTCCTCTTCTGCCAGAATTCGATCGGCAACCTCAAATGAAATAAGAAAATCAGAAACAAAAAGTTACCGTTAATTTTAGGAAAAGAAAGAATCTTAAGCTTAGTATAAAATTGCCTTCATCAAGGAGAAACGACTAAGTTTCAGAGGATTACATCAATCAGGTAACTTTCAAAAGCAGAAATGAACGGATGTTTGACTGCCAGTGTGTGCCGAACACTCTTATTTTATTTAGAACCACATAAAGCTATGAGGGAAGCAAAGTTGGAAGAGTAAGCCAACCGAAAGCAGCTAGGCCCTTGGTCAAACTATGTCCCCATATAAACAGTGTGGCCAAGAGAAATATACTCCACATTTCCAAACATGTGGTAGCTGACTACGCGTTGACACAGCCAATAGATTACGTTGGATTCAGAAAATGCCGAGAGACTATACGTGCAGGGACATTATTTCAATCTGTCCAATTTTCGGATAATTTAGTTCAACGGTTTCTGCTCGGTGGAACGACCTATAAAGCTGCCTGACAGATACCATCTGTTCACTATTGCAGCCACTTACTCAAATTCACTGCCAGTAGCGACGCACAGATGTCCCACTTTTCATCCGTGACAAGGTGAAACGGGAATGGATAAAGAGACGAAAGCAAAAGAGATCGAGCACGTGAGTTAGTTTGAAGGCTTGGTTGATTCGTTGAAAGTGCATAAACAAGTAGATGGGTGTGGAGAGAGAAATCCACATAGACAAGTAAAGTGGTACTAGCTCAAATCGTATTTATCCAATATTTAAAAATATGTGCGATAATACTGAATACATATCCAGTAGGAGATAAGCGAAGAATTTAGCCTTGATTGAAGGAGTAAGCAAAGTTGATACAATTGTGAAAAAAACACTAGCTTGGGTAAGATCTGAAATTAATACGAGTGGTTACCAAATTCAGCGATGTTCACAATAGAACCAAATGCGCGTTATCACTCCCATTTGGACAGCTTTGCTCCTTCCCTGGCACAGGTAAACCCACATCTAAGACGAGAATCACTGGAATTAAGATTCGTTCTTGTTAGAGCTCGCCAGCAATGTATGTCCTTGGCCGTAACGGAGTTTGAACCCTGTACATCTGACATGCGCACATCCGGCGGCGCACTCAGGACGCACCTGAATCACCGTCTGAACAGGCGATGAAGTTCATGCTTGAGCAATGTGACTGATATGCCCGATGGACTTAAAAACAACCCAGTAACTCTCCTAGTTGTGCTTGTCAAGACTTCCCGACAAGATAGCCCAACGGAAGCTTGAAACTTGCTGGACAACCTCTGGATTAGTCGTAGGTGGTTGCGTGATTCGCGGAATTACATGACCCGTTTGAGCAAAGCTCCTCCTTTTGGTATGGATAACCAGAATAAATGCACCAGGAGAGGACTGTTCAAATCAGTGACGTGAACGCGAATTCTACAAACTCCGCAACCACATGCAAACAGAAAAACCAAATGGTCCACATCTGAACACTGCGTAAAACAAACTCGGAAGCACCTTGCGGGTGCCGTAGAGTGAAGGAACACAGAGTGAAAGTTGACTGACATGCGCAAAAGATCGTGAGCTTATGAGATATTCCGTAAACTCACATGGAAACAGTAAGAAAGCCAAGGAACCCATCATTGGCTGTGGTGATGACGGTCTAAATTAGCGCTTCTGAACCTAGAATAACGGACTGTACCGTGGCATGCAACTAACCGTCTCTGAATTCCTGATGACAATACTCTTTTCAAGGCCTTCTTTTTGCGCAAGAAGAACACACCAAAAACAGTTAGCTGAAGCTTATGACTGTATCCGTTGGTAATTTGTGGGTAAAAATATATGCTTTCGAATATTCAGCGCCTGTCAGCACAAGAATATCACAAATTACGGGTTATTTCGTCTGATCACATAAGCACACGTCCTATTTTGCGAGTGAAAAAATTACACAAAATACATCGATGTAAATCAAACAGCTGTGGTAACCCTCAAGGACACAGTCGCCATACAACCTAGAAGTAACAAGGAAGAATAATGTCAGGTCGCGTAGGCTCATTAGGAGCGACGAAACAGGAAACGTGGAAGGCTACATTATCTTTTGGCTGTTCCGATGGCCTAGATTGACGGCTAGAACACCGTAATTCATAGCCAGTTTCAGAAAAGTAACCATAAGCCCCTGAGGATCTAACTGATGTGAGTATAATACATCACTAAAACACATTGTGATCTAATCTGGGAGTTGAAAAAACGGATGAATCATACTAAGATCGCAAAAAATGTCTACCAGATCAAACGGAATTCGAGCACGCGTTCGGTGTTAAACAGCTCCCGGACTGTTCGTAATGAGATGAAGGAGCAAACTTTGCTGGGACAAAAGGAGTACTATTTTCACTACCAATATCCAGATAACTGATCCATACACAGGGAATGGGTGTGATATATGGAAAAACGAGGAGTGAGAGTGAAACTTGGCTGTTAAAAGTTCAATCACTACTTTATCACACAAGCTGGGTTGACAGATGCTGAAAAAAAGCCGCATTAGTCATCCGACGTAAGTGAAAATCAATGGAATGAACGGTACCGTTTTGCTGAAGATGAGAAAAACAATAAACTTGGGTCTGATACCTGAAGCCTAAGTAGTTACGACAAAACACAATACAAAGACAGAAGATTTCAAAATGAATTTCAAGAGCAGGAAACGACTTTCGTTGAAGGTTCCGGGTGCAACGGCGGTGCGGGTAGTGAGGTTGAAGCGGAGTAAAAAAAAGTGAAAATTCATTGGAAGGTGATGGTGACCGTTCTCAGATAATTATTTTTAAAAAAGACTGCTAGTCTGTCTAGCAGCCATACAAAAAAATATCAAGGAGAACAGAAGCCGAAGCACTGCTAGTCTGTCTAGCAGCCATACAAAAAAATATCAAGGAGAACAGAAGCCGAAGCCACAGCAAACAAACCGCTTTACAGGCAACCAAAAGTCTATATGGCATGCATCTTGAACTAATTTTTTGACTCAGAAAGTTCTTACTAGAACTAAAAATAACGTTATATGGGAACGCCACATTAGTTGGTGAAAATTTAATCAAATTGAAACAGTTATTCAACTGTAAGAAGCGCACGTATTAATGTTCCTAAGTGGAAAGAGAGGGATCGCCACAAATTCACTGTACCTCGAGGAAAAACCTATCTAGTTGTAAATGAAAAAAATTGGTTGCAAATTCCAAGCAGTTGCTGTATTTTTAAATTACTTGTGAGTATACTATTCCATAGACGGGTTGAGTAACTAGCAAGAATTATTGCTAATAAGGAACGACCGAGCCGAACGGTCGAAACACCAAAGTGCTATCACCTATCAATCATGCACGCTTGCACATTTTTGTTAGGAAACCTTTTTGACAGGTCATCTTTAAGAGCTACGGCGTAAACAACAGCCACTCACATAGGAGCTTGTCTAAGCTTTCATATCCAAAGCTGCAATGGTCAAACTATGAAGTCCGAAAAAGCGGACGAATGAGACGGGCGTCTACAGCATCTCAACTTCAGTTGAGACAATCAAGCGCATCCGGCATGTGCACCTTCCTACTTTCTTCCATGCTATCTATCTAATGATGATAATCGTTCAGTTGTAGCACCATTCCCGTAATCATATCAGCGGTCAAGGTGGGAACCTACTAACTTGAAGGTTCATGGTTTCAAGCAAACTTCGGCATCTCAAGTGCTCCTGTCTATGCTAGGACAACTTGACGGTATCTAAGCCTTCGTACTTCCTTCGGGTGATATGGCGGTTAGGCACCGAAAGGATGCTACAACCGAGCGATTGTTTATTACTGTTGTTAAACAGCTGCTGTGCAACCCAAATGAAGCACGAGAGTGAAGATACTGACAGGTTCCCCATGCCTAAACAGGATCAATTGAGGAGCCTGTGTTGGGTTCGAACTACACTGAAGGCAGAAACGGAACCTGTATAGTTCTATCCGTGGTGAATACTGAAAGCAAGTGATGACTGGAGCAAGAGTTTAGTGTTTGCAATGCGCATACATTGCAAACCATATGAACTATCTGTGAAAATACCGTCGTTGCCCTTGAAACAAAAGTGATGTCTTATATCGAGTCGTGTACATTCCAGCAAGCACATCATGTAACAAACCCGTCAATCTTTATTTTGATACCTACTGTTCTGTTCAAAAGGACATGCTAACATTCACACGAAACATATGCGCACGACGCATGGACAGATTGCCAACTGTGGTGTATGTTGATCATGAGGGCCGGAAGAAGTCCACATAACCACTGAAAGGTTTATGATAAGGGAGCCCCATAAGTTGGGTCGACTAATGAGATTAACCAGCGCCAACCAGGAGATGGAATACACCAAAGGCACACACCGGGCATTAATAACCAGCCTGTAATGGAGAAAGCTGGTAGAATAATGGGTTCGTCGCATCAAAATGTCTCCGACATAGGCGCCAGAGAACTACAACACAATGCCAACATTTAGGTCAACATGAGATGATCGTTCTAAACTTTATGCAGTTTTGAATTCGTAAAACAGTGCAAGTTTTCTGAAGTACAACACAGCCAGCCTCGCCTTAGTAAGAGATCTTTACAATAAGTAAGAAAACTTGTGTTTTCTGATTAGCAAACAGGCATCATCAGGGCGCAAACAAACCAAACTTACAAGCCTCACTCCAGAGACCACAAAATCGATCCAGTGGTCTGGGATATGGTTGCTTGTGGGCGAATCCCCGTGGTCGTACTCGTTGGACTGTGCACTCCGGTGATGCCTGCCATCACTCCTATGCCCCTGTAGTAAAGCGCGAACTTGTCTAGAGTTCAAGCCCACGAGATCCACCGCAACGTTATAGATGCCTTCGACAGAACTCATGTCCGCCAGCATCAGTTCAGCTGCCTGGAATGGAGTGTGGGACGGAGGATGGGATGAAACAGTATCCATAATCAGAGTAAAATCACACGAAAGGAACAACAGTTGAGGTAAAAAAGCAGGTTCATTTGTAGATAGATTTAGACTCAAATGTATCCTTCGAATATCGCGTCACGTACAGGGGGCATACGCGCACTACCAAGATAATGATCATTGGGGAGCATTTCACTGTCCGGTGCGCGAGTATCCAGAAGGCTAGATAAACTGAAACGACTGTGATGACTCACTTGACTGACGCGCTGTAAATAGCACTCAGCCGCCACGCCCAAACCTTCTGTTATTGCCCAAGTACACAGACCTTCATGAATCCACCGGTGTAGCACACGTCCCCAAGCTGGTGATATACGATTAGGAGATTTCTGGTGGTGGTAATCCGGCGGACGCGCATCAAGTGCCTTATTGTCTCCATCCGACCCGAGCAGAAAGTTGAAAAGGCGGGCATTAAGTCGGTGCAACAAACGGGCAAACAGCTGAACGACAAATGCTGGATTCACATGGGCGTCATGGAGTGAGTTCAGCGTTTCCGTGAGCATTTGCAATACAGCATCGGTCTGGGAAACGATAAAATGAGATTAAATGCTCACGTTCGACCATAAAACACTTCGGCCGCCAAATTCAAATCTACCGTTTGATATGGACCAGATCGCCCAAAAGGAAAAAAGATTATAATCACAACCCCAAGTGCCATTTATCACACTTTTTAAGGAATTCACTGTGGATGTGATTACGTCAGTAGACAGATTCCACTTTCAAATGAACGGGCATTTCGACTCGCACGTGAACATCAGTGCATTTGAATAAAAAACGAATTTTACTAGCCTATCAGTCTCAGCTGCGTTTATTTAGATTTGTCTATATGGAACCACTGGGAACACAGTTTCTCGACCAGCGGATGTACACCAAAATCTTCCGTTACTAAATTCTTTTAGTTTGGTTAACAAGAGCCAGGTTATGGAACATACGAGTTGAACTCAGGACCAGATCAGATTCACTCTAATGATATTTCGTGTGAAACATCAAGAACCGAATGGAAACATGGTCCAGCTGGTGAAGTAAAACCACTGATAGAGCAGACAGTATATTCCAATCCACGGGGTTCGATTGTTACTATCGGGGAAATGATAAATCCAACATGCATCTAGTTCACACTCAAGTGGCCTTAAATTGTCAATGCGGTAGTGTTCCCACACTTTCCCTTGGTGCTTTCCGCAAAAGAGGTATTTTATTCTGGAGAATTCGCGGTCGGGATTATGGAATTTCCATTGAAAGTGGAACGCCGGGGAAGTGCGCTGGGGAACAGGCGGCTGGAAACTTGAAACGGTTATGTACGGTAGAGAGAGCTCAAAAGCTGAAGAACGTTGAGGAAGATTAAAGCATTTGATTGACTCTTTCATAGTGTAACGGTCTGAATTCTTCCAATCAACCTAAGAACCAAGAAAAGCGCCAGCTGAATGACACACCTAATGGACACAGCTCGAAGAGAAAAAAGTCGTTCAATTAGAGTGAGTAATTCCTTGCCCATGGTGCAAACCACGATATACACCGTGTTTACAAGTTACTTAATTCATAAAACTCCGACAAATAGTTTACTTTTGATGTTGTCATACATACCATGCTGAATAGTCGAATTTTTTTATATTCACTAAAGTGGTGACCATAAATCAGTGTTTTAATTTTTTTATCGACCACACTGACGATTCTGTGGCATTTGAGAGTAGCATCAGGTTAAAATGGCTCAAAACTGACGAACGCAGTCTTCCGTGTCCTTATTCCGCAACAACATACCTCTACGTCAAGAATCTCACTGGTTAAATCATCAGAAGCCCAATCGTCATCATCTTGCCCATTTTCATCCAAATGAACCCGCTTCTCATTCGCAACAGTTCGAATGTGATCCACGATCCTGGTCAGTTTCGACAGAAATTGTGGAATACTGATTCGATCCAGACGGGATACGCAAATCTCTGCAAGAAACCCGAATGCAGCTTGAACGACATCAGTCAACTGGTCTTGAACCAGGGTCCAAGCGGAGTAGGTTGTAGACTCTTCCTCGGATATTGGACACTTGCTACCGTCAAGCTGGTTGCAGAAGGGAAAAAAGTAAGTCTAAATAAACAAAGGTCCACCGTCTGCGAACAGGGAGTCAACATTCCAACAACCAAACTGCGCCCAAATCGCAGGCAGAGAGAAATCAACCACTAAAAAACAGGCACACAAATTTTCCCAATGTAGAAGAGTACATCTCCACGCAGTCCCCATAGCGATTGAGAGCGCCACGCAACGGTAATATCACATACTCTGTCAATAGTGCATTAAGCTTTCCCGCCTTGCCGTTTATCTCTTTCAATACACGGGTCTATAAAGTTGAGAACAACATCCGTATGTCTGAAAAGCAAATCTTGTGCCATTCTTAATCCACTCGAACAATACTTCCTGTTGAACAAGTTTCGTGAGTTTGACAGACAAAGCTACTGGGTCTATCAACGTATTTATGCATAATTAAAGAAGCCATACATATCCTTTTCTAAGGGAAGGCGCCAAGCTCCTACATCTTATGAAAAAAGATCATTCGAGAATATCGTAGATTATAATAACACGCAGGGAAACAATGTGAACATTCTCAAATGAAATTCAAGCCAACTAATAAGTGACTGACTCATATGTAAGTATCTACTGCTTCCCGTATATGAAACTATGAAACTATTATGAAACTATCCTCAGCCACAGTCGGCCGGCAGTAGACATCTGCGCAACCGTGCCATAAGGGCTTAATCGCATTCAAAGTTCCAACCTCACAGCGAACACCCCATCTGGACGGAATAGCTGTTCAAAATTTACTTATCACCGCAAGGGAACAGTGAAAAGCAACTCCTCGGAAAGTTACCCAAATGAATGAGACCACACGTTACCTGCGCATACATTCGGGGTCTTCCTCTTTCAACTACATGCTGTTGGGTAACGAGGTTCCTATTCGAATGAGACCCTCAGAGCAACAGGCCTAAGGCGATTTACTTTAAAACTGAACGGAAATCCACATGAGGCCATTTGAGCTTGAAACACTGGTTTATCGGGCCTTCTTCAAACATAAAAACCTTTGAAGCACACAGTCGTGTAAATAATACACCAAAGTTAGCAAACCGAAAAGTCTCACTGTTTTTTTTTCGAATACTAGCTTAATTATGTTCCCCTTAAACTGAATCAACGTCGAATAATAGATAAACAATGATAATAAGCACATACGCAAACAAAATTAAAAATAGTTTATCCCCCCCCCCCCCTTGAAAAAGGAAAATCCAATCTTCACAAAAGATTGCAGTGAACCGTTTCAGAACATTCATCACCTACAACTTGCCATGCAAAAGAGAGAAAAGACTGGAACTTTTAGAATTTCGCTGCTAACACTAGCTAAATAATCCGATCATACTATTCTTCTGCACGCGGGATCTGCTAAGGACTGGTTGAAAAACAGGGTGCGCGTGCTGCCTGAAAAAAGGTGATGGACATCCGTTCAATTCCGAAAATATCTGTCCATGAGTGGAAAAGTGCACTGGCACAAGATACCATACTACAGTTTATTTGACCTGGCTTCTTCAGCGAAAAACGAAGGGCGAAGGAGGCTGTTATTCTTCGCGATAATGGGTGCACTCTACGCTTTCCACGGTAATGAATGAACTCAGGAAACCCGATTACGATAAGCATGAAGTTACACATTTTTTCATCAATCTTGGCACCGTCTGGATACGTAGTGCGATTGACAAACCACCTAGAATTAGAGTCCACCGTATTTTAGTTATTTTCATAAGTTTATCTATCCCTAAAAGATAGTTGAACAGATGGCTCAAGTTGGTAGAGCGTGAATTTACTAACCGGAAGGTCCGTGGTTCGAGCCCAACCTCTGCCTCTCGACTTCCCCTGTCTAGGCTTGGGCGACCTGGCAGTATCTCAGCCCTCGTGCTTCCCTCGAGTTGCATGGCAGCTAGGCACCGAAAGGGTGTTACGGCTGAACGAGTTGAACGATTTTCTATCTCACCATGCGAAGACCATATCTTCCACCATACACGCTATCGGAGACTATCTTAAAACACGTTTGTCACGCGTATTGGACACAAGCCAAAGTCATACATCCATTTGAGCTCACATCTAGATCCTAATGAAGGATTCACACTGCTTTTTCGACCTCTTAGGGTATGCGTCACGCTGAGCAATCACAGTTCTAGAGTTGCGCTGATCCCAAACTTGCCAATATAGCCAGTCCGAAACTAGCTTCCATCTGAGGAGTCCTTACTCGAGGATTCACTCAACACGGGTGACTTGGTTTCCGTGACAGAAAGATGTGCAATCTTAAGTACGAGTTAATCACACTGATGATCAGTCACTCGTGGCCGGACTGTTAAGTGTCCGACTATCAGCTGAGAGGTCGCGACGCTTAAAGCCTTTGGAGTTTCATGGGAAGCGCACTGCTGGCGATTCCCAATAGTGATGAGGCAGCCCCAAAAGGCTTTTCATCTTTTCACCATAGACTGGCTTCGTTGAAGGGGTAAAATCTCTATTGAAAAGTAATGAGTTTATCCGCATTTGCAAGAAAATTCCGCTTTTCCTACTCAGAGTTTAGTCTACAGTGAACACAAGGATGGCTCTAACGAACGTCAGGTTTATGCATCGGAAAATAACAACTGTTTCGGACAACAATATAGTACTAAAGAATTTCAATTATTTGCGTCTTGGTTGTTCGAACCCAGAACCGGATGGGCCTCTTAAAAAAGGACCATAACTGGATAGTCTTAGAAGAACACGAAAAATAAACCAACAAGGAGGCATGTCCAGCGCATTACAGTTGTGCAACCGGAACAAGGCCAATGCTCGGATCGATACAGAACCGGGGCATGCTGTTTCGAACTTAGTGGCTCATCTAGTGATCTGAAGGGGGAGTTAGAGTACCGCTTTATGCCAATTTGCGCAGTGCTGAAGGTACTTGGAAATGAATTTCCAAAGAGCTACTCAAACTTGTTTCCCAGTAGTTAAAAGGTTACTGGTCGCGCGGTTCCAGTCACCCAGCTAAATAGACGCTTTTTGACAAGTGTCCGGCATATGGAACAACAAGCAACACACACTACCACACACATCACCAAGCAAGAAGTACATTATGAGTGGCCATCCCACCAAAATATAAGTCCAGGATTACGATGAACGCTTGTCGTAATATGATTTCATCCGTTTACTATTGCAGAAAGTGTTAACTCTTCAGCGTCCTTGTAAGACCTACTTCAAAGGTTTCGGCCAAATTCATATCTCGAGTGACCAAGTGAAGTAGCTGACTGGCATTGGCCAACCAGGCTGCAGTTGAACACAGAACGTGATGAAACTTGGCTTTCCGAGGCGATCCATCTTCGTCTGTCACGGTAGGTGAGCAATTAAGCGGTTTGATCGAATCTAGAAGAACAGTCTCAAAGTGTTGCAGATGTTCCACAGCGCTAGCAAGCAGGGTGAGCAATTCTCGTTGACGACGGCGTCGCTGCTGAATTGTCGGTCGAGTAGCGAGCGCTTGGGGCTGTTGTTTTGAAAGAAGTGGTAAAGCGACACAAAAACAGGGAAATGTGGAATTCGAGAAATAAAAATATGGAAAACAAAAAGGGAACAGCATGCCATTATTCGTCCGCAGGATGCTGCATGATATTGTTCCGAAACAGCGAAATACATCGGTTGTGGATAAATAAAAGGAGATAACCACGAGGAAGCCGCATAATAAACCTGAGCTGTGTAAGTTGTGCCGTAGAATTGATAAACCATTTGAATAGTACTTCAGATTAAAAGAAGCTGTTTTGATGAGATGTAGCACCTGTGTCAAATAGGTTTGAAACTGCCAAAAGATGGCGCAGTCAACCCCTGTGAACCACATACATGCGAACTGTTTCCCATCGAAATTTCAGTTGAAGGGAACGACGGCAGACAATTTGCGACGTTACATCGGAGAGTTGAGCCATAGTCATGGAATTCAGATACATGGAGCAAACTATCCATCACGCCTCTATTAGGTGAATTACAGGTGACTTGGGGACGAACCTCCGTTGTCCAAAGGCAAGCGCACACCCTTATCTGTCTGGCAGTCGGGATTACAAAAAACAGTTGCTGTCACGAATAACCGGGAAGTCATGTTCTGTTGAAGACCGTTCAAATACGAATTTGATGAAGCAAACGAATTTGGACATAACCAGACACATGTTACGAACTGGCTGGAAGAGGATGTTGGCCATAAAACTGTCAATATGAGCTGACAATTATATTATTAAATTCAGTCAGTCACAAAATGAGGAAGAATAAACAGATATATCATCACTACTGATTTTACAACACATCGCCTAAAATGATGATGTACTAAAAGTTGGTCAGGATTTATACGATCTTCTAAGAGTTTCAACCAAATTTTCATTAGCCCTTTTCTGTGATTGACGAGTAAAACGCTCTAATCATAACCTTCTAAAAAGCCACTTCACACAGATGCCTGAAAAAATTCAGCAATTACGCGTGCAGTGACGTGATCGCACTGAATGTCCAATATAAATAAGTGCGCCCATCGACCGCTTCTATGGTTTCGTGAGATTGAATCGGCCGAAACGCTCACTAAGTGAGACAGCTGGAGTGGATTTCAAGAGCATTCACAAGAGTTGGTTGAAAGTACCGTACGATTAACCTTCCCGTATTGACGTACCATCTGATACGGTTATGCAGCGAGATACAAATTACTGTATATTTATTAGTGAAACGCTGGCTTGCCAGGATTAAAACTACCCCCAATCCAGCCGAAATGCGTTTCTCGTTTAACGTCATACAAAGGAAGGAGTAAAATATTCACACTAAGAAGAGTTGGTTTTGCAGCTGTTTCTCGTTTATGCACACAGTCACCCATGCCCTTGAGGTTTCTATTTAAACAGCCATAAATCAAGGGGCAACTAGTCCAGATAATTCTACGAAATTTTGTCAATACGTATTACCCAGAATAGAAAAATTACCCGTGAGATAGAGAAGGGATAACCATTTCGGGGGCATTTTGAACATCAGATAAGACGATTTTAAGTAGGAGGTGGCGGGTGTATTAAGTAGGAGGTTGTTATGAAGGGTCCTTTTGCCAAGAACGTGCGAAGGGCGTGAAAAACTCACTAAGACGGGATTTTTCTGTCGGAATAAAGATGATCTACGAATGGGTAATTTTTTAGCTGGCTATATCTCCAGTAAATGGAGATAAAAAATACAGCCGCGTGAGTAGTTAGCGTCAAAATAATCCAAATAATACACTCAGATTACTAGAATGTCACGCAACGAACACGTCGAGTCAACCATCGCACTTGGCCCCGCATCGTTGTCACTGATAAAAAGCTACCGCTAATGATTTGCGAGCATGCACGAATACACATATAGATGTATGAAGTGAAGAACGCAAACAGGTGACCAAGTGTGAGAGTGGGAGGGACAAACTCCTCAGCCTAGCCGCGTACAGAGAATGCGCGTGTCGCTCGAACTGCAGTAGATTAACAACGAATTGTTACACTGCTTTGGACTAGCAGCGATGGTAAACAAAGGAGGCGATCGGGTGTGACAACAAAAGCGGTAAAAAAGTGAAATAGTTGTAGATTAGAAATGGGTCGTGTGCGCAAACGATACAACCAGCGAAATTCTGTAGCACAACTTGTTCTGCAAAACTGATGCGTACGGAAGCAAAACTCGGACCAGTTTGGCATTCGGTTCGTTACACTCATAAAGAATTTTCAGGAATACAGCGAATGCGGCCGAATTCCACTTGATTTGGTCTGCTAAGCCTCCGCATTGTTCTACCGAAAACACCGCGAGCAGTTGCTAAGACATAATACCGAAGGAGATAGTTGGGATGTAGGAGGGGGTTAGCAAAAAATACAAGACCCCAGCAAACTAGCAATACTCTGTTGATATGAAACGAAGTCCAGAAAAGTTGCTTTTTCAAACCAGCATTGTGATTTTTGAAAAGTGCACGAGTGATGAACCACAACTGGGATTAGACAGTTATCATCGATCATGTAGGTTGAATTGCAGAACTGATCATTGCAGAACTGACATATAAGTAATATGCCCAGAAGAAACATCTCAGAATGACATTGGATTATCTCTGATGAGCTCAGCTTTCCGAGCATCACTCATAACTTCGAAGAATTATGTCTCACAAGTTGTCAACCAGCAAGCCATCTCACAACAAACCAAATGATATGAATCTGTGACAGTGAAGGATGATTGCAAGTAAACCCCACTGCTGCTCAGCTCCCTGGAAGATCAAGAGTCAGATTGCTTTGCCGTTTCCCGTGACGACTTCCAATAATGGCTAAAAGGGTTGTACACTGCATGTCGTCTAACTGCCTAGCAGGACGAAGAAACATACGTCTCACACTAGATGCTGCTACGCATGGCAGAAGCTTTAAAAGCCGAAACTAGCTCCGGATGAACTTTAATAATGTTACCACCATAGTGGACGATCCGGTCAAACGTTCGCCGGCTGCAGTGTGTGCATTTTGGGACCAACTCTCTTAACCATTTCACTGGCGATAGAAGGCATCATCGCTGTTTCCATAAAAATTAACCAGCTGGTCGCCTGGGGCGAAAAATCAGTTCATTCACACTGCCAACGCATGGGGCATTACCTAAAGACCATCGCGTATACAGGTTACACTTAGCATCGCAGCTCGTTCCTCTACACCTGATTGCACTACTCTGTCTGCAACAGTCAAAAATGCTCAAACAAAGTTTAGGCCGGTGTAGTCTGCACTCACCAGTATCGAAATGTTACAGTGATAGTATTTGGTCATTCATCTGAACACGATACAGATGGTCATTACGGTAACAACCGAATTCCAGATTCAAAGCCAACCTAATGATGATAGAAATGCAAATACAACAATAGACTCTCTAAAGCCCTCAAAGAAATCAGCAAGAAACTGAACCCAAAATGGTGTAATCTGGTCGTCAGCTTGTTCGCTGAGCTGGACACTTTGATTGCAAACGTTTCATCACCAATCGAGGTGACATTGTCAGTGCGTTATTGGGGAGTGTAGCGGTGGGTTGGTGGTTGGCACCACCACTGTTTCCATATCCTCTTCTTGTGTCATACTTTGATCATCTCTGCGTCTATATCTATGGGAAATGGGCACGGACAGCACAATTCTTTCCGGCCAACGTGAATCAGCGAGTGGAACGAAAAGCACTAAGGCCGGTCTCCGCTGGGCAACCCAACACTTGTTTTCTGACTATATTACCCCGGATTCGTTAGCGTCATACTACACGAAATATGGTTCCGTCACAATGATTGGTCAAACACCCGAAGAGATTCCAGTTTCGTTTATCGCAGGGTCAATGAGCCAGGCGATGAAACAGTCCGTACTCTAGCTTACTGGACACACTGAGGTTCGGGTATATATTCGTTACGTGAGACAGGGCCCCATTAAAGCGTTCGAATAAAAATAAACAGCTATGCTTCACCCAACGTGGGTGTCTCACTCATTGTTGACCGGCGTCCCATATCAGCCAAAATAACCGCCAGCAAGCAAAATATGCCTACGTTTCATGACACTGGGCCATTTCAGTGGTATATCTGTGGAAGAGGAATTGACAATCAGGTAAAAAACAGATACACTCTTCGTCTGCATAACAGTGTTCGTCGTTCGTAGTATCGTGGAAAAAGTGGACTGAGTCAGTCTAAACATTCAAACCACATGCTACTGAAGTTCACAACCTTTTCATTTGTTGAAACACTATGAGTATCGGTATGAATATAAAGTTAGGACGGCCAAATTACTATGATAACTATGCCTATCGTTTGAACTATATATAAGGCTTACTTCTGAGGAGGACCCAATAGGCTTATCGGTTTTTCCGGACTCCTTCAGTGCTTCCCTTAGTTCGATCAACTCCCATCGATCGCACTGACGATAGATAGCGCGCAACATCAGATAAATCGAGATGGCTGGGCCCAGGGGACAGCGATCGATTGTCGTCGGAACAACGCTCTCGGAATCTGCCGGCTGCCGAATGGGTGAAGCATCTAGCGAGTGTGTGATTAGCCACTCCAGCAATTGTCTGACCGAGGTTGGTGAAAATGCCAGTTGACATGGCAATCGATCGGATATTGTAGATTTGGAGCGGGACGATTTGCCACTTCGCTGGCTCGTAGACCGCGTTGAAATGGCAGAGGACAATTGGGGTGAAGGCGAGACTGTGGACACCAAGGCATCAGAGGCGAGTGAGTCACGGTTAGGACCTGAACGTAGGAAACAGGGGAAGAAAGCAGTGGAAGACGCAGCTGAGTGTGGATAGAACTTGAACTAAGGATACTAGTCAAACCATCATAGGTATCAAGTACATGCAGAAAATTCATTGAATCAGATTTATTGTGCTCGAAAGCGATAAACGCAGCCTTTCACTGGGTTTCAAGAACTTCAGGGGAAATCCAGGTGAATAAATTAGATGGAACAGTTAACTAGGTGGACGGCAGTGACTAAACAGGTGACCTCAAACAGTTAGACACGAGTAAGCATAAAGCGCTTTGTCTCATTAACTGAGGTCAACAAAGATTAAAAGGGTAGTACGGACGGAGGCGAGAGGATGAGACTTCAAACGTGAGACGGACGGCTGAACTACGCACGAGCTCAACCGTGCATGTGCGTGTATGTGTTCACGTGTGCATCACACCGCATGCGATGCATGAAGCAGTAGCGCGCACCAAAAACCTGGTGAGAAACCTAATCGTGAATTAATGAAGGCGAAGTTGGCCGGCTATTCGTTCTTTGTTGATGCACTGAAACGCAGATTCTCTAAACAAGAGGTGGCCGCCACAGACAAGCGCCCATTCAGTCAACAAAATGCAAGAACCTATATTACTGCGCTAATCTGTTGCTTCCTCTTAACAGTTGCAGCTGAATAATTTGAAGGAATGACGATGAACCTGTCATCTCGAATCGGAATTCTCGCCCAGGCGAACGCAAAACAAGGTATGTACAATTCTGGTGAATCTACAAAGTCACTACTTGCGGTAGCTAGCCCCGATTGAAAATTCAACGTGTTGAGAGTTCAGTCCCGTTAAGTTTTTCAGCTCGCAAACTGTGCATCGAGCTGCTGCTGCTTCCTTTACAGAGGATAAGAAGGGTAAGGGAATTAGAGTCACGCGTTTGAGGCAATGGCTTAATCAGACTATTGACGTCGGATGATTCTGTTTGTCTGATGTGGTGGGGACTGAAAGCTATGCCGTAAAGGCTATAGCCTTGATGCAAGACGGACATCGGCTGCGCGACCCAAACACATCTGTGGGGGTCAGTAACCACTGGTTTGTCTCCTTCCGTGGTCCCCAACCTGGAAGACAGCACTTACCAATGCCGAACTTGTTGGACTGTTCTTCGTCGGGCTAAGTTACAGCCACTATAGCCCGCGAGATGACACAGTGGTTAGAGTGCGAATTTACTGAACGGAAGGTCCGTGCTTCGAACCCAACTTCTGCCTCTCAACTTCTCCTGTCTAGGCTTGGACAATATGGCCATATCCAAGCCGTCGTGCCTCCTACGGGTGGCATGACAACTAGGCACCGAAAGGGTGGTACAGCTGAACAAGTACTATAGTCCGCAGAATCACTGAAGCACAGAAGCCACATAACCCCGAAAAGAAAAGAGGTTTACGTCGGGAATGTGTTCAGAGAAACTGAGAAATGCAGATACTACTGTGAAGGAAGATCGTTTGGCCCCAGTTACCACGCAATAAAACTACGGTACCGATTGGTTCCTAACGTGTAGAAAGAGGAAAAAATCAAACACAGGGCGCAAACCGGTCATTTGTCGGTCAGGGAATTATTTGATACCTTGAGATCAAAAAAACGGTCCCTCTCAATAACAGATAAATCAGACCGAATAAAATCAAGGGCTTGTTTGGAGGAGTTTACCCTTCTGAGTGCAAGAGTACTGTTCCAATGCGGGGCAGGAAAAAAACTCGACGATAGCAACCCATTTGGCTCTCGGAAGATTCGCGAAGGAGAAATACCAGTTTACATGGAATGTTCCTTGGAGTGCCTCACTAAGGGTCATCAAGAAGCAACATAAACTGTTGGTGCGTACCATGGATAAGATATTCCAGAGTTTAAAAGCTTTGTCCAGGTGGGTCACATCCTCACCATAGCTAGCATTACAAAAGGAGATGGGCTCCCTATCATAACGAATGCGAATGAAATTGGAGCAGTTGATTCCGCTCAGTCTTCTTAAAAGGTTTAACAGAAAAGGAACTGATGTTGCTCGACGACTCTTACAAATCTGTGTTGAGGCTAAGGAGCTCATCTTACCTGTATTCCCGTGTTCCTTCTATCCATATTACTCTGTAAAATAGCTCTCATTCCAGACAGATACTTGTTTCCAGAAAGCCCCTGGATAATCATTTTCGAGACGTTAGATATGAGACAAATGCAACAAATCTACTGCTGTACACATAAAACTTTGGAGGTCAGACGGGTGCCAAAATATTATCCCGGTTGTTTGGTGTATAACTTGATCTCTCTTGGAATTCGCATGTTAAATAGTGCCAGTATTAAATGACTGCCTCGTAGCAACTGATGTCACTGAAGGGAGTCAATAACTGGTACGGACAACCTGCTTTGGTGAGTGAAAGCTGAAAACAAATCCAAACCAGAAGTTGGTCTGCAACTCAAGCGAAGCAGAGAGAGGGAGGAAACTCGTTATACTTCCTTGAAAAGCATCAGGTACTGAAAGTTTATAGGTTGCAATACGAATGGCGAGACGTACCAGGTTCAGAAGAAAGAACACTACTGGGGCACGCTCCGGAACAAGACTGAATCTGTGCAAGTGGCGGAATCGGATAGAAGGTAGGGACGCGCTGGCAGTGCACGGATACTGTGGCACCAATAGAACTTTCCTCAGAGGTTGCAAGTGAAGTAAAGCCGGTGGACAAGGTAATTCGCGTACAAGGGATCGTATGTCGATACGCAGCACAAATGCGACTCATACTGGAATCGTTTACTCCCACACGGTGAGTTGGAACTGTTACAGGAGTCGTGTCTGGAATTGGATAGTTGCAACTTGAAGGGACTTGTCTCGGCAGGACAGTAGCGCCATCGCTTGGTTGATTCTCTGCCAGTGGATTGCTCGACAGCGAAGAAGAGGAAGCGGATATAGAATCGAATGGCGTTGGAATATTAGCCCCCTCACTGGGTGAATTCATGAGGGCGTGTTGCTGGAAAGGCTGTGAAAGATTTTTATAAAGCATGAAGACAGCATTAGCTTCCAAGTCTGGATAGAGTAACTCCGGGAAACTGAGAAATAAATGTGATATTCTATGTAGTCGCTTTTACCTCAGCTTCACAACCACGAACCGTGACCCTCTGCTTCGGGTCACGGATAAGAAACACAAACTACACCAAATAATTGTGTTAGAGGTGTGTAATCAGTGACGGCGATAAGGCGCTAGAATAGTACCACTGAATTCGTGAGTTGGTCACGTAGATGTGAATAATGTCCCTAATCAGGTGTCCGGTACTTCTCTGACGAAACATGGTCTTTGCAGCTGAAGAACCGCACCCTGATGAGATAATGAAGGACCCAGACCATAAAACGTCAAGAGCAAACTCAGCCAGGTGGCTAGTGCTTGTTGTGCCAAGGAGAACGAAGAGATCACCCGGTGTGATACTGACCGAAAGCACTCTCATTGTCAATTGGCGTGATATATAGGCCCGATCTGATTAGGGAAGTCTCTACTGACCTAGAATGGGCGTATAACAAAAATGTCTTGATCAATGGTGTAGACTACTAGGCCAATCTCCACAACCAAGAACTGTTGTCTCTCGTTCCGTGGCAGATTCAGAGCAGAATACATTCCGGTCCTCGTCAAAGGACATTTAGTTCGTGAGTAGTCTATATGTCATTTGAAGTGTCAACAGAACGAAAAATTACTTGCATGTTTCCCAGCTGAATTGAGGTAGTAAAAAAAACACCCCCAAAACTGCAACCATTTCCACAACGACTCCAAGTGGTCGAGAAAACTGACAGCCCCAAACGAAATGCACAAGTGAGATAACGATGAGTCATCCCAACGCCCTGAAGATTCCGCTAACCAGGCAATGATAGAAACAATGAGGGGCATATCAGAAATTTCTTCTCTCTATGTTGCGGTTAACTTATTTCTACCATAAGACTAACCATATAGTATCTGATTAGCTTTCTCATTGCGTAAAGCGCGATTTCCGGTTGCGAATGTCTGAATGGATACAAAACACGGTAAATGGACGCGTACGTCATTCTCTATGATTCTCAGAGGTGAGCTGAAGATTACTGTAGGGAATTCCGTGACCAGTAGTAAAAAGTTGGTCAAAGATCAAACTTTCCAGCAACGTTCATGTGACTCGACAACTAAGTACTTAAAATGAAAGTCTCCTATTCACCACTCCCGTACACAGGAATCATGTGCGGTATCAGCGCTTCAGGCTGAAGTTGCCGGTGATGGTGACCAAGATGGGAAAAACCAGGCGATATAAAAAGTAGGTTTTACTTGAGAACAAATGCCGAAGATTTAAATTTTAGTCTCTATGGCGAGTTAGCAGGTGGGCGTGGAGGGATCGGACATAACGCTTTGACCTACAGTCTCAGGTTTTGTCCTCTGGACTAGGCGTAATTTGACCAGTTTTCACTGATTCACGTAATTGTCATTAATCTGAATACCGTCAACAATCACTTCAGATGCAGTCACAGACTAAAACACAAGATACACATTACTTTATATGAACCCCATCTACGATATTAATCGATAAGTATCCTGTTGGCAGCCTGATGAAAATAAGGGCCACGAAACACTAGCATCTGCATTATATAGTCCAGCCAGTGATAGCACTGTCACTTTTTGCACGCTATTGGTCGGTACTGATAGGCAGAGAGCGTACGAAATTGAACTGCATCAAAACGAAACGGTTCGTGTGATACACTGTTCCCAGCAGTGTTCCCTTAGTTTGTGAGTCACTGGTACGGGCATCAATGACATTGTAACCACACAAGTTGCCGGTCGGTACCTGTAAACAACGCTAGGGGATGGCACAAACGGGAGGTGAGGGAGATGATTAGGAATAACGGAGATGGAGGGTGAGAAGTTTCGAACACACCCTTGAAAAGACGAGAGGCCGCCAACTGGTCTGGTACTGAACGATGGATGGAGGTCATCAGCAACGAATTACCAGTTAATTTATAACTTGTCGAACTTGAAATCCTAGAAATATTCAACTGACACATCCACTGACCAAGACTGTTGTTCTCGCCTGGAATCCTACGACCTTGGTGTTGTCGACTGGTCGAGGGATTCTGACGACGTTAGAAAAGCTTACATTCAAAACCTTCAGAAAGTTCCCTGGGATCTAAGAAATGATGTGGTTGTTTGAAATGCAAAATTTATCAGCAAGTTAACTTGGTCATTTCATGAAGCTACTACACTTCACTGGGCTACTTGAATCTGCCAATAAAATACGAACCGAAGTAACCAGTTCAAACTTCTACCTTCATTGTAGATGTTGAACAGACATCTCTTCGTATCGGACAGCTGGTTAGATGACAGCGAACGAAATCCGTTTCGATCAGACAAGGCAATGGAAAAGGAGTGGTTCGTTTATATAAGGAACTTACATGAGCACTTCCGGATATCCGTGGGCTAGGACACTGAATAAGCGGCGACAAATAGCTAACAGGAGCTACATGCGAAGAACGATTCGTGATTACAAATGGCGTTGTTGCGGCTGTTACAGAACTTGAGGGAGTGACAACGGTAGAACTGTAAGAGCGCTGATGTTTGGGCACCTCGGGACAGACTAGAGGGGTGCGTAATCCAAATGGTATTATTAGGGGGCTGGGTAGAGAGGCCGTGCAGAAGACTGGTTTTGACTGGAATCGAGGAAGAACGGATCCGTTGCCTGGCCAGATCTTTAGACAACGCCGCCCGTTGCCCAGTCGAAGGATGTCTCCCGGACTCAGCCAGTAAACACATCCCTGATTCTCTGGCGATGCGGTTAGCAGATGATTGTTGACATACACTGCAGTAAATTGCTTCGCTTGCCCAGACTTAATAGATGGCCTGATACATGGTCGACAAGCAAGCCAGCCACCACGGCGTTGAGTCGCTTCCGCAGCTGCCATGGCCGATGTGACCCCATGAGGAACTGGAGGACGCCATATGATCAGATGATGTAACTCCACACCAGGCCACTGGCTTATAGGGAGTGTGACGACGTAAGGATGTGAAGTGTCCGGGGTGGGTGCCGTCCCGATGCAAACCTGTGGAGTAAGGATGAATTATAAAGTGGTCAGCACAAGCAACTAGCTGCATGCAAACCAACACCTGTAGGAAAATTGAAGTTGATCCTTCTAGTACTGTAAGCTAGTATTCCCAATTCATACCGTCATGACACTTGGTAGGGGCACTTGGTAGGTTAAACAGAAAAGTGTACGGCGCGATTCAAGTCTGAACCAGTTATAAAAGTGAGTTTTACAAATATCCGGCAGTCCACCACTAGAGTATATGGAAAAGCATGGAAAAACGACCATGACCACAAGGGACTGTCCCTAAAGAGTGTGCTCTTAAGCGAGGAGCGAACCGAATCGATCCAAAAAACCCGCACAATGAGAGATGGACTGTCTCCTAAAGGCAGTGCTTCAAGGAATAGCACGATGGTTACGTGAGTTGATAAAGCAATCCCAGACTACAACTTCGGTCTCCCAGTTACGGAGTTACTGGTCAGAGATGTCTATAACGCCAATATTGATCAATTCAAGTTTATTTTGAGTTGGGACCTTCAGAGTTTATCCAAGCAATATGACGGATTCCACAGAGCCAGCCTTTGCTGCTATTCGAACTCACGAAGTTAGGAAGGTCAGTGATAACTTATTTACTTGTCTTACTTATTACATGGGGCTTCGAAACGGACAACATGACTGTGACAAACAGCGGATGAGGTAGTAAGAACTAACGGTTCAGGCACACTAAATAAGGACAACTGATCAGTAATGGCAACCTGTAATAAGTCTCTGGGCTGTAGAGGTTAGTGGTAACAGCAAACTCAGCAGTCTCTGGAGCCCATAAAAGGATGGAAGGGGACCGTGGGAGTATTCAAACAACGAGGGAATAGGTGAACAAATACCAATGGATGTGAACACATCAAAGAGATGGAGGGGATCGTAGCCAAAAGGCAGTCAGGAGGGGGGCAGGGAAATCCTAAAGGTCCAAAGTGAGCGCCACACCGCGGACTCCCACGCCTTAAGATGTCCGCAGATTGCGCTATAATCCGACACAACAACAGTGAAGTACATCGGGAGCGGGGCAACCTTAGAGAAATGCTGGGTAAAACGATTTTGGACACGCGGCTTGTGACCAAAAGAGTGACTGGCTGGTTCTAGTCCGGGCCGAATAAACTCCGCTCCGCCTATCAATTCACGGTGAAGCTCACTTCTGATGGACACGCACGTAACCAAACATAAACAGTACCTGTAGCGATGACTGCGAAACGCAAGTATTCAAATGCCCAGCCCATAAATCAACATTCCGAATCCGTAGTGGATGACATATGGTCACAGAAACAGGATGGGAAGGAATCCAGCCACTTAACATTAGCGTTTGACCATTGCAACTGTGGAGATGGGGTTCATCTATCTAGTAAATGTGACATCGTAAGATCACCATACATGCCTAGAATTCGAAATAAGACCGAGAATGTACTAGTTCGTGTAACACTAGAATTAATGCGCATGATTTACGGTCGGAGGAAGGAGCTTTGGAACCCAGGGCCAATGAACTCTAAATGAGACTATTTTTGGATTTTCGGGATTTCTCCAGCATCACGACAAGTACATTCGTTTGCTTCTTATGTGAATGTTTTGTCTCACTTAACGTGATTCAGATCCACGTACTGTCAAATTCACCGAACAAAGCAAAGAAGTTTGATTGCTGTTTTGTTTCCCGTCGTACGTGACAATACTATTCAGTTGTGAAGCGAACTGTCACCTATGTGGCCTACATTTGAGGATGATCACAATATCACACGTCTTACCGCAATACCGTTATCCACGGGTGACCAACCGATCATAGTCCTACCAGTCAGCTTCTGATGAGTGTGATATATATATATATATATATGTATATATATATATATAAAGGGCAATTGACTGAATCGAGATGAAAACATTCACGTGAATTTTTCGGTGATACCAGGTTGGTTCTTGCGGTGAGTGAGATTTAAAGGCACTCGACGCACCACGGTCAAGAACTCAACCGAATGGATCCGGCCGTTTACATAGATCATACAGGTTACAATCACGCTAATCACATGCCTTGGTTGGCCACGTGCAAAATGCCGGTAGCCGACCTGTTGTGAAACATTTTCAAACCTACTTGATGTTCCACTTTGTGATGTGGTATCAAGCGGATAGGGTGGGGCTTACAAAGCACTCGACGGCAATCAATTTCTTGACAAGTTCGAACCGAGGTAAGCACTTCATTCGAAAACAAAATCTACGAACTGGTGACTGGTTTCAAACAAACTTACTGCAGGTATGACGACCAGAGTAAACAGCATCAACATACACGAGTAAGGATTACACTACCATTAAAAGGCCAACTACGTGTTCTGTTCATTTAGTGTCTGACTGAATGAACATTGATTGGGTGATAAGTTCCCCACCTGGAAGTTGTACGCGTCTGAATTGTTCCGTTGTCGACTGCTTCACATGCCTTAATGGAGTGCAGCGAACGTGCACCACTTGCTGACATAAAATTGGAGTAATCTCGCCCCTATATCTACCTTCACTTAACATAGGCTGGTCAACAAATGCAAAATTGAAAAAAAGAGGTTGGAGAGAGCTAAAAGTACAAACCTGCTATCCTAAGCGTCAATAATAAGCAACATTATCTAAGCCGGTTTGGGTGAGCGCACAACCCACTGGCTGTGAGCAGCACTGAAGTCAATCATTTGGCATGGAATCCTAGTAACTTTGGACGCAACAAGATAATTAGGTTACCTGGCAGATGAATTCATAAGATAGACGCGTATTTATGACTTGGGGAAACAAATTACGGGTGTATGGTTATCATAAACTACCTAAACGCGCTTTCTTTACAAGCATACGAGCTAGCTGGATACGTCAGGCACATTGTGCAAGCGATTGAAATCCACCAACGCCTAATTAGGCTCAGTTAGACCATTTCAACTGTCTAGTTACGGGTTTACAAAGGACGATTCCGATAGGTTAGAGACTAATTCGGAAATGGCACAAAATCAGTGGCGCTCTTTTTGCACTTTTATATAACTGGACTCAGGCGAATTCCCAATTGTCGTTTGATTCCAACTTTCGACATGATGTGATACAAAGACCTAAAAACTTGTACTAGACTTGGTGATAATAATCGTTAAGCTGTGACACCCCATTCAATACCTAGCTGCCATGCCACCCGCAAAAACCGGAGGGGTGAAACGCTGCTAGGTTGCCCTAGACAAAAGAGGAGCAGTTAAGATTCAAAGGTTGGGTTCGAACCAAGGAACTTGCAGTCAGTAAGTTCGCGCCTTGTCCACTGAGCTATCTCGAGTACTAAGCTTACATGAACA